CAACCAGGTTCCTTGTTACTTCTTTCTGAACATACTGTGGATCTCTTCCTTCCAGTGATTTCTTCCACATGACCTAAGTTATCCATTCCTATATCCCTTTATGCAGTTTAATTTTGTTTTTTCTCCTTTTTCTCCTCTCCGCACTCCCACCTTAAAATTTAATTTAAAGCCCTTTGAATCAGGTCAGTGCAGGTTCTGGCCAAATACATTTTTCTGGCCTTTGCTAAGCGCATTCTGGCAACACCAGGATCCCATCAGTCTGCTAGTTTAGGATGGGGTCCAGGAAGATGGGTCCTGGTTTTGGATGCCTTTTATGTTGCCAGGCATTTCTTACCGTGTCCTCCCTTCGCTTCCACACTCATGCCTGCTGCGGGAAGAAGGACTACCTGGCCCCTGGCCCAGGAACTTCTTGCAACTCCTCTCCTTCTCGGCCCAGCCCCAGATCTTCACATCCTTCCTCCGTCTGAGGTGATGCGCGGGCATGGCTGGTGATAGAAAAGCTGGGGGGCCCTGGCAGCTCCTGACTTACAGGCTTATTGCAGTCACTTCTGACCCTGCGTCAAAGGCAGGGCTTCAGGGTCCTTACAGGCATGTGCTCGGGAGTGGGTACCCTGCCCCTTCCTGCCCAACACCATGGCCTGGGCCTTCACTCTTTTCTCCCCAGCCTTGCTTTCTGAGGGCAACATGAGAGGCCTCCCCACAGAGGGGTTGTGTGGATTTAGTAGCCTGTTCATGTGAGGTGTGCTCAGTTGCAGTCCTCACATGCTGACACGTTACGTCCCCCAGTGGCTCTCTGGCGTGGGGAACAGCTTCCCATTGGCGCCATGTTTTTATTCATCATCGTCTGTTGAGCCCATGTCCGGCATTCACTTCTTCCTCCTCGGTCTCTGTCTTCAGGGTTTATTTCCTGGACTATGTGCTCCACACGACTGAGGACCTTCATCCATAGCACCAGGCATGTGTCAGCTGTCCCAGTGGGAAGTGTTTGCCTGTGTCTACCTATAGCTGCCATCATTGCCCTCAGCGTGACGTCCCAGGTCCTCACCCCACCTTGCAAGGCCCATTGCCAGAGCTCCAACGCCAGGTCACTGTCCTTCCTCCAGCATGGCCCATGCTCCTGGTCTCTGCACATGCTCTTCCCTCTGCCCAGAACCTTCTCATGTCCACTCGTCCCCCTTTTAACTCATTTTCCTCCTTGGAGACCCTGCCTAAATGTCATTTTGGCGCAGCAACTTATGTTCCTTCCCAGGCCTTGCCAAAGTCCCTTGCCATACCCCCCCCAACCCCCCAGGGCACCATGCTTTTGCTTTTAGCACACTGTCATGTGTATAGATACGTTTAACTGTGTCTGGGTGAGCCAAGGGGCTGGGATTTCCATGTTCATTGGTGGTAGGGTTCCCCCACCTTTGCCATGCAAAGGCCATGGCCAGGCACATAGGTTCTCTCTGCCCCTCTGTAATCCCTATGATGGCAAGCACTGGGTCTGTCACTTGTGTCACTCATGTATCACTGTGTCTTTCACCACCAACACCATTGTTAGGCTAGAGAAAGGCTCATTTAATATAAGGACGGGCAATAGTGGGAAGTTGTGAGCAGTTTCCACCCCTAGGCGTTGAGAAATGCCTTAGCTCTCTTTAGGGCTCCTCCTGGAGACTCATAGGATACGGTTCCTTCTGCTTCCTGGGCACTCCGTGAGGGTAGATGATACTTTTTCCCTGTCTGCCCAGAGTCGGGCAGCCTGGCAGAGGGTCGTGACTCAAGGAATGGGTGTGTATGTGTGGACGGGGTGCTGATGAGAGAGGTCCTGATGAAAGAGAATGGGAAAGGGGAGCAGAAATGCTCTGGAACTCGGGCTGCGGTCTCCCGGAGCTTCCTGGGTGTCAGCAAAGCCTTTGTGAGCAGATGTCGGCCCAGTACTGTGCTGGGGGCTTGTGGACATGAGAGGAAGGTCAGGTCTCAGCCCTCGGGGACCTTTTGCCCTTGTCATTCCTGTGTTTGGTTAATGCAGCTGCAGAAGGGCCCGGCCATGGATCCCGGCTGCTCCTTCCAGGGGACCCCTGTCCAGTGCCTTCTCTTGGGTGCCCGGCGACATGCCACTGTGATCCCCGTTGATGGGTTTTTACGTCCTGTTTCCCTAGCCAAGGAGTGAGCACTCTGAAAGCCGGGATGTGTGTTCTGTCAGTGACAAGTGTGCCGCCTGGTGTGTGGGGGGCAGGTATTTGTCAGGAAGGAGCAACAATATGTGTTTGCTCTCACACCGTCGCTCTCTAGCTTCACTGGTTTTGCTTGACTCGAATGTGTGTGAATATTATTCGTCCATCGCTAGGACAACCTCATGTGCCACAGATTTGCAGTCGGGCCTCGTGCTGCAGAGTCTGCATTCTGGTCAGGAGGCGGTTTTGGAGATGCCTACCTCCCCAGGAGTAATGACACAGAGAAACCACCTGGTGGTCGGATCACACACAGAAATGACTCCACGAAGTGAGGCCCTAGTATGGGGGGGGGGCGTGGAAATTGCTTAGTGTTTTAGCCACAAGAATGCATGGCTCTCTAGCACGTGCGTGTCCGTTACCACACCTGTCCAGACCGCCACTGCTCATCGGGTCAGAGTTGCTGCTTCCATGGAAGGAAACATGATGGTGGCGTGCACATGGGCTGAAGTCACACCGCCACCAAATCATGGGTTTTTCCTACTTCGTGTGCCTAGTCTCCTGGGGATGGGGAGTAGACACAGGCTTATGGCAACCCACTGCACCCATCTCCCTGTCAGTGATAAAGCCCCATGGAGGCACCCCAGCCAGTGTTTGCCATATGCTCACCAATTAAAACTCAAACGCCTGCCACATGCTAGACTGTTGGAAACACATTTTCGTTTTGATGTGGCTATTCTGAAGTAAATGTGTGCAAGGACATATGCCTTCTGTCAACCACTGGATGACAGTGGTATTGGTAACACGGTGCTTCTGCCATGCTCATAAATGAAGGGGTGTTTGTGGCTCCTTGCTAAATATTTTATTATCAGATGAAGAAGAAATCACCATAAAAATTCCTCTGATACCAAAGGGAATTTTTCTCAAGGATGTATTCACTCTTTCCCTGTGCTCAGCTCAGTCTTTGCTTTTGAGGAAGAGTGTCTGACAGTACCATGCTTAGGTATGTGGGCTCACGGTTGTATGTCCTTTGGTTTCCTCCTGCTACTGCCAAGCAGCACATCTCGGCCTAGAAACTTTGTCCTCATATCACCAGTTCTCGGGGACACCCAGCAGGGGCAGCCAGCAGACAGCAGAGGGCCTTTGCTGCCATGGCCTGCCTTCCTCCTGTCTCCCAGGGAAGCAGCTTCCTGTACTAGACTAGAAGATATACAACCTGTCATGAAGCCACAGGCAGGTGGAAGGGAGAGGCCTTCTGTGACCTCCACACTCAGTTCCTACCTGAAGGGCACTGGAGAGACTCTCCTGGAGGAGTCATTCTTCCTTTGGTGGTTGGAAGCTACCCAAGGACATAAAGAGAAGCTGACGTTGCACCTTCCCCAATTCCCTCTTTCTCAGAGGAAGGCAGCCTGGGAGAAGATGAGGGGTGGGTGAATTGGACCCCGGGAGTCCTGGCAGAATGACTTCTGGGTGGGAAGCTGAGGGCAGCTGGGCTCCCTGCCCAGTGAGGCCTGAGCTCTCCTCTCCCGTAGGAATGGCACTGCCTGGCCTGCTGGAGGGCCTCTTCTGCCAATTCCATTGTCAGCCATCCCCACTCACCTGAGCCAGCAGGTTGCCTCCACAGAGGGAGCACCCTGATCTGCTTGTCCTCCTAGGGTCTGGGCAGGTTTCCTACACTTCCTGCCCCATGCAGATCCTGCTGGATTTCTGTATTTGTGTACCATATGCCTAGGGCTTGAGCACACACTCTTGGGGCACACTGCCATGAGTCCAGCAACGTGGTTTTGTCCAGGCCTGAGGATCACTCTCTCAGGAGTGACCTGTCTCCCTCTGGCCTTCACATGTGGCAGTTTGCTCAGGATTTTCTGTATTCTCAATCATTTTGCTACCCATATACAGTGCACAGCTGAGAATTTTGCTCAGTAAAACCGTGCAAAGCCATACTATGCCATTTTCCTGTTCTGTAGAGGATGTCACACATGGGAGCATGAACATTTTACCTTGCTATGAGCATCAAATTTCCAGTCTTGATAGGTTTACAAATAGTCCTCTGTCTGCGATTCTCCTGAACAACTTTCAAAGTCATGGGCTAATCAAATTACGAGCAAACCTAATTCAAGCAAAGGGCGACAGTCCTCATTAGTTTGGCTACCGATAAAACATAGGGCAGCTCCTGGTGTGTAACAAATTACCACAAACAGCGATTCAAAATAGACCCATTCATTATCTCACAGTTTCCGTAGGTCAGAAGTACAGCAGGGTGCAACTGGGTGCTCAGCCCTGGGTATGACGAGGCTCCACTCAAGGCTGTCGCTGGCCTGTCTCTCACCGGGAGGCCCTGAGAAGAATCCACCTCCAGGTTCATTTAGGTTGTTGGCAGAAGTCAGTTTCTTGGGCTCACAAGCCCAAAGTCCCTGTTCTTTATTTTATGTTGGCCAGGAATTACTCTCCACTTCTAGAGGCCACTCACATTCCATGTCCGTCACATCACCCCTCCATCTTTAAAGCCACATGCTTCTAATCTCTCTGACTTTGTTTTTTTGTGGCCAACCAGAAAACACTGTGCTTGTAAAAGTCTCACCAGATTGTATCAGGCCCCTCTAGATAATCTCCACATCTTAGAGTCAAGTGACTTGACACTGTTCCATCAGCTGCCCGATCCCTTCCCAGCAGTGCCTAGAGGAGTGTTTGGCTGAATGGCCAGGGGATGGGAATCCTGGGGACCATCTTTAGAAATCTGCCCACAACAAGCTGCAGAGAGAAATCCACGTCATGTCTACTTTCACACGTCACTTGACATTGCCGAGAAATTCCTGTTGTGATTATAATCTCCATTGTTGTCTCCACCAGCGAGTGCTGGGGATCCTGAGCCTGGACCGGAGGCGGAGGTGGGGCAGGGTACGCATGAGGCGAGCCCAGAAGTAGCGCCGGCCCGTGTGGCAGCAGAGAAGGAAGTGGAGCGCGCGCTGGAACAAGAGCTGGAAGAGCGGGCCTCCCTCAGTGAGAAAGAGAGGCAGAGCGAGGAGGTGAACGAGAAGGACAACTGCTCTGCCTCCAGCATCTCGTCCTCCAGCAGCACGTTAGAGAGGGAGGAGAAGGAGGACAAGCTCTCCAGGGACAGGGGACCTGGTAATACAGCCCCTTTTCTCAGTAAATATGTTCCAGGGAACCCTGGGTGGGAGACTGGGTTTGCTGGCCACTGAGATGACCCTGCTGACTCAGCTCGCTCCCTGGGCTGTGTCCCCTGGTGTCGGGAGGTGAAGGGTGTGGCCAGCCTGAGGGCAGCCCTCAGCTTCCTGCCCCATGGGGTGGTGGCCCCCATGCCCTGTGCCATGCTGTCGTACCAGGTGGGAAAAGGGCCCAGTAATGAGGACAGCAAAGGCCTTTTCCTGAGGAATAAGTCTCAAAAGAGAACTTCCTCATTTCCTTCTAATTGCTTGTTAATAGTAAATGTAGCTTTTTTCTGGGTTAAATTTAGACATACGTCATGTTGCTGTCTGCTCCCTTGGAGGTTTCGTCAGTGAAGTGTGCTAAGCCATTATGATGGACATTGCAGACCACAGCAATGTGTTTGTTAAAATGAACTGAATGAGTGCTTCTAGAAAGTGGCAGTTCAAAGTGTGCTGAAGTCAATTTGATGTACTCTAGTGGAATATACATGGTTTAAGTAACTTTCTACAGTATGCTCAGGGCTGCTCTTTTGTTAGAAAGTATCTGCTTTTCTTTATGAAATTAGATCTTTTTGGCATTATAGCTGATATTCATTCAGTTCATCTGTGTCATGGCAACTATATGATGAGAGACCAAATGGAATGTTAATCCTCACTGGGGACTCGGGGAGGGTGCCACAGAGGATTATAGGAATTGTAAAGGATTCATATAATCATTTGAATTATGGTTCACATGCAACACCATAGGGTTGGTTTTCCTACCCACGACTTGCATGCTGTTGAGATGACAGCCACCTCTCTCAACTAACACCCTCCACCAGGGGAGGCATGTCTTACTGGCCAGCCTTCATTAACCTACAGGCTGATACACATACAAGGAGCCCATGTCTTGGGCCCAAAGTGCATCCTGAAGGCTCCACAAGGGCTTGCCAGCTGATGCCATGACCCATGCATGCCTCATTAGCTCACAGATTAAGAATACATGGTCTCTGAAGCTTGTATGTGTGCATGAAAATTGAATGAATGAATGGAGCTATAATGCCTGCCATTAGACCTATCAATCAATGTCTTAGTCCTAGTTGATATTTGAGTTTTTACCAGCCATATTAATAAGTTTTATTCTTTATATTGCTGGTCATTATGATGCACTGAAGAAGAACTGAAAGACTTTATTAGTTTGCATCTTAGTAATTATTGCATTGAAAATCTCGTATCTGGTTGAAGATGTCTGTGCTAGAAGGTAGTACATATATTGATATTTACTTAATTTTCTTTCAAAGTCAGATGGCAGTTAGTCTCCCAAATTGTACTTGTTAGAATTCACATTTAATGTGATTAGGGTCACAGTACAGGGGGTCAGGTCGGGTAAGTCTTCTTGATCAGTTTGGTCTTAAATCATGTTTTATTATAAATAGCTGTAGGAGTTATTCGTCATCACTAGGTTTAGGAAGCCTAAAACATACCAACAAGTTGGGTTAGTGAAAAGAAGCCAAGGAACAGAACTTTCTTGGATCAGGATTGTCCAATATTTTTCCAAATAAGGGCAACTTTCCAAAAATGGAGACTCTACTCCCAGTGAAGAACCATTGACTTTCTACCAAAAGCTGGTGTCCAAGAGTATTGACTCAGGAATTAGGGCTTTGCAGTGACTTTTTTTCTGCTTCAGTCTGGGGCTACTAAAAGATGCGATCATGTTTATTTGTCGTAGCTTCTTAGTTCCTAGAAAATCCCACTGCTCCCAGGCACCATCAGCAGCTGTGAAGTCAGGCAGCTCTTAGCTTTCAGAGTGTTCTCAAATCACAAAAGCAATCATAATGATCCTAATGATTGTATCCATTACTCAGAAATGAATCTGTAGGGCTTGAAAGAGTCAACTTATTCTGGTTGTGTGGCTTTCTTTTTGTTTCGTATGTTCTGCTCCATGGTGTTCGTGTGAGAGGTTTTATCGTAGCATTTGTTACACTTTGCTGTAATGCCTTATATAACTGTCCTTTACCTCCACTTGAATGTAAGCTTTGTGAGGATGGGGATGTCCGTCTTGCTCATTGTGAGTCCTCACTTCCTAGCTGTAGGACTGGACATAGTAGATGCTCAAAAAAACCACTGATGAATAATTGAATGAAGAGGCATCTGGCTAAGATAGAGCAGCTCTATTGTTCCCAGTTCCTTCCTCTTACAGCTAAACTAGGAACACCCTGGGCATAACCCAACAGTCAACCATAGGAGGACTCCGAAAATTGGAAAGAAGGCAGACTGTCTAAGGACCTTTGGACTTTAATGACATGGCAGTGAAGCTCTAAGTAAATCCTATTCCCATAGCCAAAGAATTGGGAAAAGGATTGCCTAACAGAACAGATAATCTTTTTGGCTATAAATACATTGCCCTACCCCAGAAAATTACTAATGGAAAATCTGCTACTGTCCTACTCCTCCCCCACCTGGTAGTTTCAGTGGGACCAAAGAGGAAGTGATCTTCTATAACCTCCACTCCATGGAAACAGGAGTGACACAGTTCCCATTCTCCCCTCCCTCCAACTCTGTGGTGTCAGTGGGACTCAGGAGGGAGCTAGTCCTCTATCCCCTGCCCAATAGAAGCCAATAGTGCTCTCTCATTTCCTTGCTGGGGTAGTTCTGGCCTAATGGAGAATTGATACTCTATCCCCTACGGGGCAGAAGCAAGTGGCATCCCAGTTCCCCTATCGGGGTAGTGTCAGTGGGGTCCTATAGAGATCTGAGCTTACACCTTCACCCAGTAGGAGAGAGACTTGAGGCAGTGGAAGAGGACTAACCAGCATTCTGTTGCCCCTGCCCTCCTTCTCTGACACCAGCTGGGCCCAGCAGGGAGCTCAGTCTCTATCCCCACCTGGCATAAAAAAGGTAGAATGATGTGGTTGGAGGTAGAACTAGTCTCCAATCTATTCTCCCCAACCCAGAATCAGTAGAGACCAATGGGAAGGTGAGCCTTCGCCTCCACTTGCAGGCAATGTGAGTAAGTGTTCCACTTTCACTGGGAAGATGCCAGTGGGGTCAGGGGGCTGCTGCACCCCCACCCTGCCCATCTGCAGTGAGGGTGAGTCAGCCCTCTTGCTGGGGTGGTGACAGTAGGACCCAGTAGGGAGCTGAACATCTACCCCCACCAAGACCTGTACACCACAATTAAACAGGGTGAGCGCCTGCTGAAAGAGAAAACGTGATCCAAAGTCTAGCAAGTAATCCCCAAAATATCCAGGACACACTCTAAAATCACTTATATCAAGAACTAGGGCAATCACAACCTGAATGGGAAAAGACAAACAACAGATGCCAACACTGAGATCAGCTGGATGTTGGAATTATCGACAAGATAATTTTAAAGCACCCATCATGATAATGCTTCAGTGAACGGTTCCAAACATTCAGGAAACATGTGAAAGAAATGAAATATCTTAGCAGAGAAATAGAAGATATTAAAAAGAACCAAAGAGAAATTATAGAACTGAAAAATACAATGACCAAAATAAAATACTTGTTGGGTTCCGTAGTAGATTGGAGACAATAAAGGAAATAATCTGTGCAGTTGAAAACAGATCAGTAGAAATTACCAAAATCTGAATAACAGAGGGGAAAATAGACTAAGGAATGAACAGAACCTCAGGGACCTGTAAGACTGTATCAACAGAACTAACATTCATTTCATCAGAGTCCGAGAGGGAGAGGAGAAAGCCTGCAGGGCTGGAAAAATACTTGAAGAAATAATGACTGAAAATTTTCCAAATTTGGCAAAAAGCATAAACCTCCAGATTCAAGAAGTTAAGCAAATACTAATGGGGATAAATCCAGAGAAATTCACACCAAAACAAATGATAAACTTCTGAAAACTAAAAACCGAAAATAAAAATTCTTGAAAGGGAGTAGGAAGAAAAATGTGTTACCTATAGAAGAACACCAATTCAGATGTTTCATCTGAAACATGGAGGTGAGCGGGAAGGGGGGCACAGCATTTGTCAAGTGCTGAAAGACTAGAATTATCAACCCTGAATTCTGGATCCAGCAAAAGTAGCCTTTAAGAACGAAGAGAAAATGAGGACATTCTCAGTTAAAGAAAAACTAGGAGAATTTGCCACTAGCAGGCCATTCTTAAAGAACAGCCAAAGGATGTTCTCTGAACAGAAAGAGAATGATGACAGAAGAAGGCTCGGAATTTGGGGAAAAAAACAGAACAATGGAATAAGTAAAAATAGTAAATAAAAAAGACTGTCTTTTGCCTCATAAGTTTCTTAAATCATATGTGATGGTGGAAGCAAGAATTAGAATGTGATGTGTTATGCTCAAGTATGTAGAGGAAATACTTAAGACAATACTGTTTTTAAAGTAGGGAGGGTAAAATGATCTAAATGGAATTAAGGGTTCTATGCTTCAAAGTAGTAGAACATCAATACTAGCAGACAGAGAAGTTAGTGTTTATATCGTAATTCCTAGAGCAACTGCTAAGAAAATTATAGGAAGCAGTGTACTCAAAAACAGTAAAAATCAAATTGAAATTCTAAAAAATATTCAGGTAACCCACCTGTGACCCAAAATGGAGAAACAGGAACTAAAACAAAGGGAACGAACAAAAAATAAAGAGACAGACTGAAGCCCTAACATAATAATTTATTTTTTTTTTAAAGTAGTTTCTATACCTAACATGGGGCTCAGATCCACAACCTCAGGATTGAGAGTCACATACTCTACCAACTGAGCCAGCCAGGTGCCCCAATAATCACTTTAAATTAAAAGATGGAGATTTGCAGAGTGGATAAAAATATAACCCAACTATATGCCATGTATACAAGAATCCTTTTAAACATAAGGGCATAGGTAGGTGGAAAGTTAAAAGTTGGGAAAAGATATACCATGCTACCATTAATCAAAGAAAAGCAGGAGAGGCTATATTAATATCGGATAAAGCAGACTTCAGAGCAAAGGAAATTACTGGAGACAAAGAAGCAACACTACATAATGATCCAAGAAGACCTAAGTGAATAAAGAGAGTAAGGGAGAAAACCAGCATTTATTTTTTTTAAAAAAAGATTTTGTTTATTTATTTGACACAGAGAGAGAGACAGTGAGAGAGGGAATACAAGCAGGGGGAGTGGGAGAGGGAGAAGCAGACTCCCCACTGAGCAGGGAGCCCGACGTGGGGCTCGATCCCAGGACCCTGGGATTATGACCTGAGCTGAAGGCAGATACTTAACGACTGAGCCACCCAGGCGCTCTGAAAACCAGCATTTAAAATATTACCTGATTGTGTCCTTTTCTTTTTCCTTTTCCACTTTATGGGCTGCAGCCCCCTGACCTCAAAGCAGTCTTCCTATTTATAGGACTGTCTGGCTAGTTGTAGGGACTCCAGATACCCAAATTTTCCCATCGTGTCCTCCCTCTTTTCTTTTCTTTTTTTTTTTTTTTTAGATTTATTTGTTTATTTATTTGACACAGAGACAGCTAGAGAGGGAACACAAGCAGGGGGAAGCGGCAAAGGGAGAGGGAGAAGCAGGCTCCTGGCTGAGCAGGAAGCCCAATGTGGGGCTCGATCCCAGGACTGTGGGATCATGACCTGAGCCGAAGGCAGATGCTTAACGACTGAGCCACCCAGGTACCACTGTGTCCTCCCTCTTTGATGGTGGTTGTCTCCTAAGTGTATTCTTTGAAACCTGCAAGAGGGTTCAAGAGCTCCTTGTTTGGGTATTGGTCCTTTGGTGAGGTTAGGTCACTGCTGAGCAGAGGACAAGGCTACAGAGGAAACAGAGCACAGGGGACCTTTGTGCTCCCCAATAATGCCTCCTCTGAGATCAAGGCACGGCCATGTTGGAGAGACCAGTGTCCCTCCCAGCATGTTTGATTGGGCCTTTCTCCTTTGGTGCACATGTCCATGGCCTAGGTCCCTGCCATCCCCCAACACAAGTATCCACAGAGGCCTTGGGTATATGATGGAACTCATATCCAGAATGCCTGCCAAACAGTCCTGCTGGCCCTTAGGAAGCAAACTCAGAGGAATAACATTCCTGACCATTCATTGATTCATTGATTCATCCTAGATGCTGGGAGTACAACAGTGAACAACAGCAACAACAAAACTCCAATCCCTGCTCTTACAGAGTGTACATTCCAATGAAGAGGATGTTTTAACAATTATAATTGTTCCAGTGGTAGGACAAAGGCAGCAATAAAATAAATAAGGAAAATGAGGCAGTAATAAGTGCTCTGGTGACGAATGCCGGAAAGGGCGATAAATGGCACTGGGGGGAGGGAGGGAGTGTTGCACAATTTTAAATAAGGTGGTTGGGGAGGACTTCATTGGGAAGATACTGTTTGAGCAAAGACCTAAAAGGAGGTTGAGAAGCAAATTGTGTGGTTAAATGGGTGCCGTTTGTCCTGGGATGGGCAAAGGCCCTGAGGCCAGACCATGCCTGGTGAGGTCCAGGAAGGTTAAGCAGCTACTGTAGCTAAAGAGGCCCAGGTTTGGCAAGAAAATTAAGGCGTGTTCACGCAAGGCTTGGGAACATTGAAAGGTCACTGGGTTTTTACTTGGTGAAATGTGGCAGCATTAAAAGTCTTTGAGCAGAAAGATCTGATCAGACATTTTAACACATGGCATTGCTGTTAAGAACTGACTCTCAAGGGACGTGCATGGAAGTTGGGACCAGCTAAGGGACACCCCTGCAGTGTTGCAGGCAAGAAACCATGCTGGCTCAGACCAGGACCACGGCAGGGCAGGTGATGAGAAAAGTGGGTGGATTCTGGATGTGACTTGAAGATTTAGCTAACAGGATACCCTGCTGTGTTAGATGCGCGCATGAAAGAACAGGAGGAGTCCGGTGACTGAGATTTTTGGAATTGACAGCAGGATGGATGAAAGTTGCCATGTCTGAGATAGGCAAGGGCTGCAGGAGAAGCAGGTTTGGAGGGGGGGTGGGGATGAGGGCAGAGGTGGTAGCTAAAGCCGGAAGACTGGATGAGACGGGACTAAGTGTACAAGGACACAAGAGGTCCAAGGACATTTGACGGGCAAAGATAAGGAGGGACTGGCATAGGAGATTGAGAAAGAGCAGCCAGAGAAAAGGCAGCAGACCAGGTGAGTACAGTGTCCTAGAAGTCACCTGAGGATATAAGTAAAGGAGGGAGTGAGCTGCTGGGTCTAGTGTAGCAGCAAAGTGTTCGGCCGCCTGGGAAGGAGCAGCTTTGAAAAGTGGTGAGAGCAAAAACTTCATTAGACTAGGTTCAAGAGAAGGAATAAGGAGAAAAATCGGAGCAGTGAGACAAACAACTCTGATAAGCAGCTTTACTTTAAAGGAAAGGAGAAAAGTTGGATTATAGCTGAGGGCTAAGGGGAGTTGAGTTTGTTTTTTGTTTTTTTTTTTAAGATGGGTGAAATTATACCATGTTTATATGCCAGCAGGAAGGTCTAGTGGGAGGAGCAGGGGAAATGCAGGACAGAGAACTGCAGGAATGGCTTCCAGATGCACATGTGGAGTGGTTGACTCTGCTGAAGGGGATGGTTTCTCAGTAGTCACAGGAGGGAGGCCATGGTTGGGGTTCAGGTGCGGGTGGCGGGGGCAAGGGGAGGCTGGATGAGACCCTGGAGGATCTCTTCTGACTTCTTCCGTTAAGCTGTTGAACTAGGAAGCAAGGCTATGCTGGTTTGCAGATGAGATGGTGGGGAGGTTAGAGGAGAGAGGGGGGGGTGGGAAAAGGAGAGGTCGTGGGTGGGGCTGCCAGGCAGCAGTAAGGGTTTCCTGAAGACTGGTGCCCATGGACTTAAGGTATGACCAGTGTTTCCCCAGGCATTTGATCTGCACTGATGCAGATGCGGAGTATAGGGGGGCAAACAGACATAACTCTGCAGCCTTTCCAACACCTGTCCTGTGGTGGGTGAGGGAGCATCTTCCTTGCCTTCCTGTGTCTAGTTAGGACAGCAGCCCCTTAGTTACCTGTGGTTGGGTGCGTCCTGACTCGCTGTCATGGGTGGGCAGGAAGAGTGAGGAAAACACTCCCATGAGCCAGGTGGGAGCCAAGAGTGGTATCCTACCTACAAGAGTCTTGGGTCCTGGAACAGGTCATTGCGACTTTGATGCAACGTCTCTTCCTGGTCAAGAGCATCCCGTCAGCTGTGACCACCTGCCTCTTCAGTCGCTTTATTTCAGTGTCTTCTCTGAAGTCACTCTGTGTGTGAGGTCTCCGCTATTACCTAATTGGTTTCTCATGAGATTGAGGCACCTGCCACTTGCTCACTTTGTTTTTTTTCCTCTCCTATATGCTTTCAGGCTTGTGGTCGGCGGGTGTTCAGGATGCCGGTGTAAATGAACAGTGTGGCGACATCCTCACCAACAAACGGTTCATGCTGGACATGCTGTATGCCCATAACAGAAAGCCCACGGATGACGAGGAGAAGGGGGAGGGCGAGAGCGGGAGGGCTGAGCCGGGTGCAGAGGCGGTGGCCAGCCTGGCTAGCAGGATATCCACCCTGCAGGCCAACTCTGTGGCCCAGGATGAGAGCGTCAGGAGGGTGGACGTTGGCTGTCTGGACAATCGGGGCAGTGTGAAAGCCTTCGCTGAGAAATTCAACAGCGGGGACCTAGGGAGAGGGTCCGTCTCCCCTGACCCCGAGCCTAATGACAAGGTCCCAGAGAAAGCATCCACACAGCCGAAGACAGAATCTGACTACATCTGGGACCAGCTCATGGCCAACCCGAGGGAGCTCAGAATCCAAGACATGGACTTCACCGACCTGGGGGAGGAGGATGATGTGGACGTCCTGGACGTGGACCTGGGTCCCAGGGAGGTCCCGGGGCCGCCGCCCCCACCCCCGCCCACCTTTCTGGGTTTGCCGCCCCCGCCCCCACCGCCCCTGCTGGACAGCGTGCCTCCCCCTCCAGTCCCCGGTAATTTATTGGCTCCTCCTCCAGTAGTCAACGCTCCTCAGGGCTTAGGGTGGCCCCAGGTCCCCCGGGGTCAGCCGGCATTCACCAAGAAAAAGAAGACCATCCGTCTCTTCTGGAATGAAGTGCGGCCGTTCGAGTGGCCATGTAAGAACAACCGGCGCTGCAGAGAATTCCTGTGGTCGAAACTGGAACCCATCAAGGTGGACACTTCCAGGCTGGAGCACCTGTTTGAGTCTAAATCTAAGGAACTGTCCGTCTCCAAGGTACTGCTAGCATCCCGAATGTTTCTTGATTTGCAGAGTTCCTTTCCACTGTTGAGTAGGGCTGAGAGATCTGTTGTATTTAAAAATCCCTTCGTGCTGCTTTGGCTATGTGGTGGGGGGAAAAAAGGTGGTTGGTATAAAAATCTGACCTTTTAGAGATTAGTCTGTGCCCTATACTAGAGGTAAGATGCATGAGTACAGGACCCTTGATTGGCTAACATGGAGGGCAGCCTACAAACACCGTTAGGCAAAGTAGCTTTCAAAGAACCAAATAACCCAGAGGAAAAGATAGAACGACTCACCAGGGAACATTAGCATAGCCCAATCATAGACGCTGACATTAACTAGAGGAAAGTCATCTTTTTTTTTTCTTTAAATTTTTTATTGTTATGTTAATCACCATACATTACATCATTAGTTTTTGATGTAGTGTTCCATGATTCATTGTTTGTGCATAACACCCAGTGCTCCACGCAGAACGTGCCCTCTTTAATACCCATCACCAGGCTAACCCATCCCCCCCCCCCCTCCCCTCTAGATCAGTTTGTTTTTCAGAGTCCATTGTCTCTCATGGTTTGTCTCTCCCTCCGATTTACTCTCCTTCATTCTTCCCTGGAGGAAAGTCATCTTGCAAATTTATCAAACACATGGACTTTATCCATGGGTCTATTTACTCTTACCTTGATTGATTATAGTTGATGGTAGTGGTAATTGGAACCTCGGCTGTAAGCACACAGTAATTTAGAGTCTGCAAGACTTACCTGCAAGAACTTACCGTAAATTAGTTTTAGCTCCGTGTGTTGTTCCATTTATCAGCATTTTGGGTGAGTCTAAAGCTACCTGAGTTGGGCTCCCCGACCTGCCAGTCGAGTACCAATTCTGATTCACAAAGTATATGCAGCATCCTCAGGACAAGAGTGTCCTTCAGGCAAGGGGCCAGGTGACAGGGTCAGTGCCTGGGGGGGGGGGGCTGGGCGGGAGTAGGGCTGCTCTTCCTGAGTTGATCTTTACCCTGGTGTCAGTTTCTGCCCAGTCTCAGCAAGGATGTGAATCTAAACTATTCCAGCCTCAGGAATCCCCCCGTGTCAGAATTAAAGCTTCCTCCTGCTTCTAAATCCAAACAGCTAGGATCCAACACAGCAAATCACGTCCTGTCACTGCTGTCCTTCAGCTGTAAGTAGATCCCCCTTTTGTCCTCTCTAGGAAATGACATCAAGGAAAGCGAGGTTGGGCACCCGCTCTGTGTGTCTGTGTCCTGACTTTGCCAGGACTGGTGACATGTGGTGCTGAGCCACCCACATGCCCCCTTCGGTTCTTCCAGTGCAGCCCGGCATTTGGGAGAAGACAGGCCTGGCTGGTTAAAAGAGCAGTCTCAGGTGGCCCAGGGTTACCCAGGACCTGCCCTCCCTCACACCACTCTCCAACCCACCGATCTAGTTGGCTGGTCTCCCTCAGCCACCACCTCCCAACGTGGGCTCATCTGGCTGGTGCGCCCTCTGGGCTTCCCCTGGTTGCTCAGCACCCGTAGGTTGCTGGGCCTTGACTTGGGTGGGAGGAAGACAGGGAGTATCGATTCGGTAGTGAAGTTACTTCTGACTTCATCTTTACAAAGGAAATAGCAAAATTAAAAGCTTCACTGAGAGAACCCAAAATGGGCAGTCCGCTTGCCTCTCTCCTTCTCGTGGCCCTACTCTGGTTGGTGACAAGAGTCTGGTTAGTGCCCTCTCAGTAGCCCGAAGTTCCATTCTTGCTTGAAGTAGGTGGTGACGTCATAAAATACTTCATTGCCTGGCTGAAGGACAAATGTTTGCCTAGTTTTTATAAGGTGAGAGCATAAGAGAAAAGTAATAGTATATTGAAAAATTTACCAAATGGATTTAAGTATGTTCTTCAGTGGGACCCAGAAAGCCATACCTTTGTTCTTTGGGTGGGGCGGGGGGGCAATAAGAAATGTGAGCAGGAACTAATTCACAAATGTTACAAAAGGTGAAAATGCACATTAAGATTAAAATACATCACATTGGAGAGTTGAATCCCTTAAGTGTATGTTAGCAATGCAGATATAACCAATTTTACTTCTGTTTCTAATCCTTGACTGTGATTTTCATAAAACACAGCTGTAAACAGCCACTTCCGAATTCTGGCTCATGAGAAGTTTTTCATTAAACACAATAGCGAGCAACACAAATAAAACGGAATAGACTTCACAGGCCAGCACAGAGCAGAGGGAACTGGTTTTCGGTTTTGTCAGAAAACTTATAGCAGACCAGATTTCCGGAACATTCTTATGACCATCCAGGTCACCCCCAAAATAAAGATTCATGTTCCAGACCCAAGGCTGGGTGACCACTTAGTGGAAATAAGTTCAGAAAAATATGCTTTTGTATTTCCTTTCCAAATAGTTTTTGAAACTGGAGCTATGTTTCTCTCTCAGCAGGAAATATATATAGCTTTTTAGTAAGATGACTTTAATTATGTTTTGTGGAGAAAGGCAGAAATCCTGTGCTAAGTTTCATCATGTTGTGTTTCTACTGCTGGTCTGAGGTGTGGCAAATCACAGAGGAAATCATAGGAGTGACCCCAGAGAAAGATGTCAGGGCAGAAAGCCCCTGGAGGTAAGGGGAAATACCCCTGTGGACCTGCCATCATCCTGAGGAGTCCCCAGGAAGTGGTCTTCAACCTGTGTGCCTAATCAAGAGTAGCAAAGTCCCTCCTGCTCCCAAAAGGCAGTTTTTAGATCCTAAGTTACAGACAGACTCAGACAGGTGTGAAGTGGAAGAGGAAACAGAAGGAAGGAATTGACTTGGTTTCCCCTTTGGGGACTCAATCCTGTCTTACTCCCTTGGGCTCTTTAGGTTTATTATGGAGAGGGAGTTCCAAAATGGGTTTGGAGAAATTTTTTCAACTTTATTTACCCTGGCATTTCAAAGTATATCAGAAACAATTAGCAGTGACTTGTTAAGAAAATTCAGAGAATGAGGATTTATTTGGTCTGGGGTGAGCCCCAGCCTGGGTTATTTTTAAAAGCTCCCCAGGGACTCAACCAAAGTTGTACACCACTGATTTAAAGTGAAAAATGAGGCACCAATGAGGAGGGCATTGATCCCCTCCACCGCCACTCTCCATGTTGACTCCCCCACCACCTACCCTACTCCGTTTTATTCTCCCCTGAGAAGAGAGTCAAGTTTTCCTCCCCTGTATTCTAGTTCAGGACATACAGAAATGTTAGTTTATTTAACATTGCCCTCAGAAAACTGAATTCTCTCTGGAAGTTCAAAACCCAGCATTGGGACTTAAGTGGGCCGACCATACATCTGGTGTACCCAGCTTGGCCCAGGTGTATGCCTATTGTCCCGGCATGATTATTAAGAGCACTCCCTTTCTCCCTCAGGGGTCTCCTGGTTAGGGTACTAGACACACTCCATTACCATGGGAAATGTAGCTGTTTTGCAGCTGGCCTCAGCTATAGAAGACTACTGCAGAAGAACTGGGAAATTAATACTTTTTTTCCTAAACTTCATGATAAGGCTAGCCTATTCTGGCAAGTTCCTCAGAGACTCCATTCCTAACTATGGGATTTTCAGTCTTTATTTAGACATCATTGGTGATGTTGTTGCCTTAATGCTCACCCATGTTTATCGGTCTCCCTTGTTACAGGACTTAGGAAAATTCCACAGTTGTCACATCTTTATGACATCTGTATCGTGGCCTCATTGTCATTGTCACTTTCTCAACAGGCAGTTTTGAAAATATCCTCTGGCGTCACTCTTCTGGCAGTTAGCGGGGAGTGAGGAGGGATGATTTATCATTGTAAAGCCTGTGCTTTGCTGAGCCAGACCCAGGGTCTGTGACAGCGATGCTGAGAAGCATTTTGAGAGGTCATGCATTTCATGGGAGTGTTCTCCAGCTTAGGGCTGTTCATCTAATAAATCACATCCTGAGCACAGTTTCTACGTTCAGTCACAGCACCATCTGGGTAACAAGTTCTGTACACTGAATATCCACTCTTTAAAGGTTGCATCCTTTATTTCTAGTAAAATCAGTCTTTAAAAATTCAAAGGAGTGACTCTTCATGGAAGCACCAGGAGACTGGAAACCAAGCCCTGTTTACCTGCCCAGATTGCATGCCTCCACACCTGTCCCCTCTCCCCGCCCCCCCACACTTCTCATTTCATACTCATCCCTCATGAGGAGTTTTCTGCCTTCACTGGAGCCCTACTCTGGACCTTGGTCCTCCCTACCGTGGTGTGCCACAGACAGAAGCCCCAGGTCTGTGTGGAGAGGAAGAGCCAGGTTTCCTGTTTTATTTCCAAGAGCCACACCCATGATGTGGTTGCGTGGTGTTAGCTGTGGCAGAATGTGTACCCGTGTCTTCAGGAGTCAGCTGCACCCAACCCCAGAGGCTCCCGTGCTGCTTTACCCCGGAGTGTGGAAAGACTGTTTCTCTGTAGCTGACAGCTTAGATCCCTGTGCTGGGATGTGAGCTTTGGCATTTGTTAAGCATGTCAGTCTTGTAACATTGATAAAAAAAAAAACCTCCCTGTATTGTCTATAGCGGTTGGGACTTTATCCTACATCATTCATAAAAATGGCAGAACCGGTCCTCGTTACATCTTAGAATGGACAGGAAGACCCTGTTACTCTTTTTCTATTTTAAGAAATAATCTCTTATCCCTGCCTTTCGTTTCCTATTTTTAAATTGCTTTCCTCTTGAAAGAACAATCCTGTCTCAAAAGCCTTTAGACTTACACAAAGTCTAAATCAGTGACTCTAATTGTGTAAGAGATTATTTAACGTCTATGGACCCGTGTGCCCTTCTCCAGACCAAGCAGACCAGAATCTCAGAGGATAGAACCCAGGTGTCACTGATGTTTAGAAGTACCACTGAAGATTCTTTGTGTACCCACAGTTGTAAAGTATTGGTGTAAACAAAACTACATTTTCTGGTTTTCCTTCAGAAAGTGTCAGTAGATTGATCAGGCCTGTTTCCTCCTCAGATACATGATGTTGAATTTCTCCCAGCTAGTGGTAGTGACTTAATGTTTACCCATCAGTCATGGAGGCAGCCATGGAAAAGGAGAATCTCCTGTACTTTCTCCAGAATATCCCTTTGTGTTAGTCCTGGAGACCAGTCTGTTAGCTTCGGAAGGGAATTTGGCATGTGGAAATCACCATGATACTCTTCATTAAAAACATAAACCAAGATGTTCTCTACATTTATTTTTGGAAGATCATTAGTACCCCTGAAAGTGTACTCATTTTCTAGGATTCTGTATGCCTGGAGGTGTAGACTCTAATGAACACTTATGAGCTATTTTCAGTAATTCACAAAGCCCCACGCAATGTGCCATGTGCCCGGCAAGCAGCTCTGTGGGCTACATTGAGTATTGGGTCTCTACACTTGCCGCTAGAACTATCACTCTCCAGGGTGGGGACACTAATCTGATCTGACATTTCTGTTTGTAGAGGTGCATTTGATCAGTAAGCGCGGTAAATGCATTAGGCATGAAAAATATACATTGATAGACCACATATTTTTAAAATGTCAATGGAGTAAAAACAACAAAAAGGAATCACTCTTGGTGAAATAAGTAAGAACTCATTATTAGAAAGCAGTATGTTCCAGGCATTGTCATAAGGACTTTACATGTATTAATCCCAGTAATATTATTCTGATTGTTCTGGCAAATACTTCTGTAGTGCCTACCGTGAGCCAGGCATTAGTCTCACTGCTTTACATCCGTTGTCTCATTTATTCTCACAGCAAACCTTGTGAGATATGTGCCAGAGAGGAAACTGAGGCACAGAGAGGTCCAGTGACTTGCCAGAGTCACACAGCCATGAATGGTCAGATCCCAGCTGAAGCTCCCTTTCAGGGGTCCTGAGTCTGTCCATGTGGTCCTTGGATTCCATTTTGTTTCTACTGCTTTTTGATAAAAGGTCATCAGCCAAAGCTCTGTCCTCCACCTCAGTGAGTCTCAACTCTCAGGGAGGAAAGGATTGCTGGAAGGAGGCTCCTGAGGGCCCAGGCTCTGGGCACAGCATGCTAGACTAGGGCTTGGTGGAAAGTGAAAACAGGAACAGCAGACTCGGGGGTAAGATAGTTGCCCCAACAACAGAGTGGTAGCGAGGCAGGGTGGGGAAACCACTGTGAAGCTGTATCTGAACATGCCACTTCTCCAAATATGTCCTGAAGTGTTCAGGGGAAAGGGGAAACTTCTTTCATGGGTCAGGGTACCCTGGGAAGAAGCCAGGCTCAGTTTTGCTTCCAGAAAGCCCGGTTAACCCGAACTCTTGAGCAGGACCAGGCAGCAATGCTTAGCATCTAGGAGAGCACCACCTTTGAAACCCCAGCTATCAGGGATCCTGCAGCATGCCAATAGTTGCCTTTCCAGAAATACTGTCTCTGGGGAAATGTTTCAGCCTTGGATGCCATGTAGGGCTTTTGTTTGTTTTTGTTTCTGATTCAGCCAAGAATATTGCAAGCAGGGGCGGGGGGGGGCAGTGTAGATGGCCAAACTGGTAAGAGGAGAGGTTACCCTCCATGGAAAGGGATTCTGTCAAGGCGAGCAGAGACCTCTCAGAAGGGTCAGGAAGGAGGTCCCTAAAACAATTCAACTCCCTTTTTCCAAGCTATGCAAGAAGACTGGAGGTCTAGCTTCCAGGAAGGCAGCAGTGAGCCCTTCCAGGAAGAAGCTTCAAATAGGCAGCACCCAAGGCCACAAGGGTTAGAGGATTTCTGAGAAGCATAGAGGAGGTCATCAATTTAAGTGGTTATCGCTAGCTGCTAAGGCTTGGGGGAGAGCTGTGACCATTCCCTGCAGCCCCAGATTCACCTAGTTGTCAGCTTCCTGGATTGGGGTCTGCTCTCTGGAACCAATCTGCTCTAAGACGCAGGGCCCTGCAAATAGGTACTCTGTCATAGGGCCATGTGAAGGACATCGTGAAGGTCACACTTGCTACTCTGGGGCTTTGACCACAGAAAGATAATTGAAATGGATCAGACTCGATGACTGCTGATCCTGAGACATGGACATGTGCTCCCAGGCACAGAGAACTTTGGCTCACCCTTGAAGGTGCTTCTCTAGGTTATTGTGGGAGGGAAGGAGAGAGTTGGACATCCCCACATGACCCCTCCTTTGTCTCAGGCAGAACAGACCCTGGGGCACTTGTGTGCTCAGCAGCATCCAGGGGAGTCTGTTTTAATTATGAAGAACAACATTTAAAACACCTCTTGGATGAAATCCAGAGATTGAAAAGTTCAATTTCAGATATTTAATTCTTATTCTTTCCTTCACCAAGTGGGTTGAAGTGCTCTGAAAGCGCATGGAGTCGTCTATGGGGACAGCTCTCCCTGTCATTTCAGGATGCTCAGTGGCTTGCTGCTCCCTGACTCATAGGGGAGTGTGTGGGCGTGTCCACTGGTGTAAATTGAGTTCTGTTGGGAATGGGGACAAGGAAGTGTCAGGCTCAGAGCCGTCCCATAGGTGTCTGCAGGTTGTTTGCCGTAAGTGAATGCTGACCGGGGCCTGGGGGGTGGGTGGGGCTGAATTCTGAGTGGTGCTTCTCTCTCAAGCTGTTTGCCATGGGGCTGTGTCTCTCCAGAGGGGGCATCTTTTTCTCATTTGCACAAAGGCTGGTTGGGCTGAGTCTGCCCAGGCATCTTTCCAGGCTCTTGGAGTGAGAGGGGCTATATAGATGAGGAGCTAAGGGCTAATGATTCCCAGGGAATCCCTGCCTTCCAGGAAATGCCTCCTGTCCTGGAGCCTGGCTGTGGGTATTGCCTCTCCTGCCTTGCCTGCTACCCTCCTCGAGTGGCACCATTCCTTGTGCTCACAGGATGTCTACCGTAGGGTCTCCAGGCCCCATGTCCTGGCATCCCTCTTTGTTGCCTCTACCCAGCCTTTCGCCAAACCTTTGCTCATTCCTTCTTCGCTTTCCACACACGAAAAAATACCTTAGATTTGAAAGCTGAATTTCAGGGACTCCCAATAAGCTTACTTGATTAAATACGTAGAAGATCCGTTTGCCCGGCAGAGTAGGGATGCTTCTACAGCACATGTCCCTGGGCCTTCCAAACTGATCACACCCACAAGAGTTGTTCCTCCTGGCCCCCAGGCCCCAGAACAGCTGGGATGCTTTCAGTTCTTTTCTTCGTGAGGAAATTTTAATTTATTCCCAAACGCATATTTAAGGATTTAAAATAGAATTTTAGCAATTGAGTTTGGACGGACTTAGGAGGACGTAAGGAACCACAGCCCGTTTCTCCTTGCCAGCTTCCGGCCTCCAGGGTTACAGCAAGCCAGCTTCTTTAGAGGGCCCAGCCGCTCGCAGGCCCGGCCAGTGGGGAGGGCCTCCGCACAGCAGACCGACTGACAGCAGCCTCAGCCCCTCGGCTGGGCCCTGTGTGCCGCAGAACTGCAGCGGCTGCTCCTGACATCCCCTGCCGATGGCCCCCAAGCCTCCAGCGTCGTCCCTGGCCGTTCCCAGCAAAATAGACAAAGCCTCTTCTCTCTTTTGCTCCCCAGTTCCAGGCTCCATCCTAGACATTGTTTAGGGCCCAGCTCCAGTGTCAGCCCCTCCGGACCCTGACCGCCTCCACCCCCCAGATGAGGTAGTTACCCCGCCGCTGAGCCCTTTCCCGTGGGGAGTACACCCACCGTCGTGCTGAATGGGTCTTTTTCTTCAGGAGATCCACTGTGCCTTACTCATCACTGTCATCCTGGGCTTGCTACCCACGTGAACACGGTCATCCTCCCAGCTCTGTTTTGTCTCAAGAGAAACCTGAGCGCGAACAGGGTGCTTGCTGAGCCGGATCTCTGCCACTTTTTCCCACCATTAACTTTTGGAGGAGAGTGGAGGGCCTTGTCATCTCGGCCCTGGCACCGGTTGGTTTTACCCGCTCACAGACGTGTTAGGCTCTGGTCACGTGCTAGCCCAGGGCTTGCCCCCCAAGGAGCACCCAGGTCAGCAGGGAAGCCATACACACAAGGGCTCTGTGAGGACACCTGTCCCCCTTTTTGGCCCCTGTACCCATTTCATCCCTCATTGGTCTTGAGCAGGTTCCCTTTGGTTTCCCTTCCTCGGAAGGCCTCTCTTCACCTACCCAGTGGGCAGCCACCCGGGTGTCTAAGTGTGACAGGTGCTCTGTTGTTAGGGACAGAGGATGTTGAAATGGTGAGAGGAGCCTTGAGACGATGCAGCTGGGGATGCAGAGGAGCTGACCGGCCAACAATGGCGGATTCTCCTCATCACTCTTGTCTTCTCAGCGTGTATACTGATGGTCTCCATCTCTGGGCTCATACCGCGTGCGCTGGGGCCAACCAAGGCACATTCCGACACCTTGCAGCCTGCAGGAAGAGAGTTCTGAGAGGTTTTAGTTTTGTTTCCACTGCTTCTATGGAAAAAAACAGGTTTTTTTTTTTTTTTCCTTGCCAAATATCACATTTTTCCCAATTGAAGGAAAATCAATTTTATTTTGTAATGTGTCTGACTCGAGAAGTTCCATTGCTGACCCATGCTTGGCGGCTTCTCAGAACTAATCCTTGATCTCTTTCTTCTGTGCTGAGCAGTAGCCAGTCCTTCCCTGAGCTGAATCGGGGCCATTTGTTTTCATCTCTAAATAAGTAGTGAGTTTAAATGAAACACAGAAAAGACCAAAGATGATGCATTAATCTTAGATTCTCCTTATTTTATCACCAAGAAAACTGCTGCAGATGGAAAAAGACAGGAGGTCATCGTCCTAGACCCCAAGAGGAGCAATGCCATTAATATTGGTCTGACAGTGCTGCCCCCTCCGAGAACAATTAAGATAGCCATTTTGAATTTTGATGAATATGCCTTAAACAAAGAAGGAATTGAGGTAAGAGAAGCTCTATCAAGCATTATTTGTATTCTATTAACGTGTCCCATATGTAAAGCATTACTGTGTCCAATATGACTTTCTCCACAGGGTGGCTTGCCATTTTTCTGTTTCAGCCAGACTCTGAATAATGTTAATAATTCTCACATATTTTTTTTTTAAAGTTCTGGGTCGTGGGGGGAAGCCCCACTTGGCCTGTGAAGTTCAGTGAGCCTCACTCTCTGGTTCCGTTACTGCCTGCCTTCTGACCACGCTCACCTAGCTCAGCGTGGAAGAAGACAAGGATAACCTCCTGAGGGGGCTGGTGGGGTCTTCTTTCACGTCATTTCCCACTGAACATGCTGGACGAACCATCTCGCGAGTAGGGCTTCCCGCGTATGCTCACATCCCCGTGAACGACCTTGGGATGTGTAGAGCTAGCCTGTGGGTGATAAGCTGTGGGTGATTAAGAACCCATACCACACGCCGTAGGCAACCGTTGATCTGAATGGCGGCAGTAAAGAGGGAGGGGTCACTGGCAGGGTCTGTAGGGCCTGCTGGGCTCAGTGCTCTTCCACCAGGCCCCGTTCTGCATCCACCGTGGGTTCATGCCTCTCTCTGGCGAGTTAAAGCTCCTTCTAGCAACGAAGAAAGAGTGAGTGGGGCAAGCGGCCCAGCATGGAGATTCCTCCCGAAGGGCAATATAGCCTGGGGCTCGCTGGGTCACAATGGGGATGTGAGGACGCTGCTTTGTGGTGTTGGGTGACACTCCATCCTCCTATTGGCAAGGAGCCAGGGATCCCTTTAAAGCCTTCCCATAGTTGGGGTTCATTAATGTGCAGGGTTATCTGAGGACTGGAGAGTGGACAGGACCAGTGAAGACTGGCTGCAGAGGGTAGAATGAGCCCCTGACAGAGAGGAAGGGCCCAGGACCATGGCACAAGGCTCATCCATGGCCCCAAGTGTGGGAAGGAGCAGTGGGGCCCATGGGGCCAAGTGGGTCTGAACCCAGCAGGGCGGGCATGCCTCTGTGCTTTGAAAAGAAGAGGCCCCCACAGGAAAAACTGTGCTCCTAGAGGTTTATACCAGATTAGTAGTGTCCCTTCAAAATCCACGTCCACCCACAAGGCAGTCCCTCTCTGGGGCTCCCAGAGAAGCGAGGGAAGGGCAGAGCGTCGGCTGGCCACTAGGCAGGTGAGAGCTGCCGACCTGGAAGAACCCAGTGCAACGTGTCTTTCATCTAGGGCAAACTACATGGTAGGCCCTAGCACACATTCCAGCCATCCTATTGACTTAGCAGTGTCCTTGGGAGATTGCAAAAGCTTCAGATTCATGCAAAGAGAGGCTTCAAATGCAGCCAGAGCCAGCCTAATGGAAGGGAAGAATGACATCTTCCCCTGTGAAAAATATTTCCCCTTCTTGTCATGAGAACTTGAAGGTCCGTCAGGAAAGATTGATTTCCTTTGGGTTTTGCCTTTGTTTTTTCCTGAAACGTAGCTCTCCAGGGGCAGGGAAAATTTCAGATACAATCAGTTACTTCGATTTTAGAAGAAGGCAAATTACTTGTTTTTTTCTGACTGGTTTCCAGCAAGGACCTTTTTGATCCAGGAAGGAGTAATGCCAGCAACAGTAGTGCTGCTGAGGGGTACGGGAGCAACAAGGCCCACTAAACGTGGCTTCTGTAGCTTTCTTCATGTGGGTCAGGCGCAAGCCATGTGCTCTACACAGATGCTCGTGAGGTACAACTGTTGTGTTTCCCATCTTGAAGATGAGGGGAGAGTCCCAGTGTCAGTCAGGGCCCAGGCTCCTGTGACAAAAAGAACAAGAGGGAATCTGAAAGGTTAGGGAGAAGACTCCTGAGGCCGGCAGTCCGCCTCACAGCGCCACCTACAGGGTGCCCCCGGAAGTAGCTGATGTGCGGAATGGTTATGGCGGGAGGACACAGCCATAGAACCACCAGTGAACCCATCCTGACCACTGTCAGGGCACCCCCACTCACAACAGCACAGGGGGTGGCACATTTTTTATCACAGTGTTTATCTAAACAGGGTTTCTCAACCGTGTCACTACCAACATTCTGGATTGGACATTTCTTTGTTGCGGGAGCTGTTCTCTACGTTGTAGGGTGGTTAGCAGCGTCCCTGGTGTCCACCCAAAGAGGCCAGTGGTACCACACCATTGGGGACAACCAAATATGTTTCCAGCTTTGTCAGATGTGCCCTGGGGGCAAAATCCCCCTGAGAATACCTGATCAGAAGGCTGCCCATGTGAATTCAGGGACCGTGTATATTTTTCTTTTCTTTTCTTTTCTTTTTTTAAGATTTTGTTTATTTGAAAGAGAGAGAGAACACAAGTAGGGGGGAGGGGAGAGGGGCAGAGGGAGAAGCAGACGCCCCGCTGAGTATGGAGTCCAACCAACTGGGACTCAGTCCCAGGACCTTGAGATCATGACCTGAGCCGAAGGCAGACGCTTAACCGACTGAGCCACCGAGGCACCCCAGGGACCATGTATATTTTTCAGTTCTGGTTAGTCATGCTGAGAAGAGTCCAGTGGAAACCAGACACGCTCATCTGTCACCTGCCCTCTCTGGCCGTTCTCATGGACCTGAGGGGGCATAGCTGCTCTAGATCCATGTCCTGAGCCACTACCCAGAACTTACTCTCTGGGCTTGTTGTTCAAGAGCTAAGTCAGGACTGAGAAGAGATGGAAAGTGTATCCTTACAGATCTTTACTAATAAGATTTCCAGCTAATGCCCGAAGGGCCTTTTGCCAAACAAACTGTCTGCTTCTTGGGTGCAGGCACTGTAACATGGTACCATGGCTTAATAGGGCCATTTGAAACCTCTGTGTACCAAATGTGATTAGGATGTATTAAATTACATCCTGTGGCTTTGCCTAGCAACTCAGTGATATGTATCCAGCTTTGTCACGAAAACCTGAGAGAGTGGTTAGCTACTTCATTAAGGAAGTAATCTTTCATAAGAGTATTAAACTTTAGAGCACATTTTGGGGCCATCTCTAAATAGTATTCATGATATTTTCCCAAATGAAAGACGCCATCAGCTTATCATAAGTGAAGTATGAAGGGTTTTCCTCTTTTCTGTAGCTTTTCTAATTTTTATCGTCTGTATCTACAGAGAACAGCACAATTGGATGGTCCCAAATGACACTGACCTTGGCTCACGTTGGCTGCCAGGCCTGCTAGTATCCTAGAAACGGAAAGTCCCTTTGGCCGAGTATACAAAAACTATAGCACTTTTTCAGGCCATTTGTGCGGTGCAACCCCCATCCGAGTGGGCGCTGGACACACAGATGAGCCTGGGTCTGGGAGCCACAGTGATGCAGCCAGGCCAGGGAACCAGAATGTCCCTGCAGCTGGGTGCCTTAGCCACGCTGGTGGTTTTGCCTTTCTGGTTGAATGGCCACAAATCGTGGAAATGGTGCTGGGAAAGGAGGAGCAGGCTCCTCGGTGGTTCTTCAGCTCTGCCTTGATTGACCCAGCCTACCTTCAGGCAAACCACGTCACCTGCAAATTTGATGCAACAATTTCTGCCCCACATGCCTCACTGAGGAGTCACAAAAATGAAAGAAAATATGATTGAGACACCTTGAGAAGTAAAGGGAAAAAACCCCTGCGTAAGAATAAGTGCATGAATAGAGAGCCTTTGACTCATGAGGTTACGCAAGTTGTACACAAACCAGCCTCAGCTCTGAGTGCTCCAGCTTCCTGCTCTTGTCACCAAAACCCCTGTGCTAGATTCTCACCCAGAGCTCTAGCCAGGGTTTGCTCAAAACTCACGGGGCAGAATAATTACTCGTGATAGTCTTATCTGCAGGTGAATGAGATGGCCAAACCCAAAAGCATTTGGGTTCACAAAAAATGAGACCTCTCCATTGTTCTCTGAACTACGATTTTCAGATAACCAAGCAAGTAGACTGAAAGCAATGCTGGTGGGACACCGTCTGGGTGAAAGCAAAAAAAGAAAACAAACACTGAGGTTATTACATAGTGGTTTTGTTTGATATCTTTTTCCCCATGAAACCAAATGGTGACCATAAAATCATCAGTAAATTCACAGACATGGTGGGAGAGCAAATTAAAGGCACCTCTTCCCACTCACCCCTTATCATCTGCTCCTGGAAAGAGAGGGCCATCAGCTCATTGAAGGTGGCTTCAACCCGCCGTTCCCCCGTCTTACGGCTATTTTTATCGCCAGGGATGTGTAAAAAAAATAAAGTGAAATAAACTGGCAGATGGCAACCTCGTAAATCTTCAGTGGTGAACAAATGGTTTAAATTAGTCAGAGAAGTAAAAAACAAAAGGTGTTTGATTACTTTCCCAAAGGAAAGAAGCAGCTAAAATCATTGCAGGAAAATGCCTTCTGAGGAATGGGGGAGAAGTACTGACAATTTTTTGTTTTGGAATTCTCGTACACGCTTCAAACAACTTAAGCAGTATGAAAGTTAAAATACAAATGCAGTTTTTGTTTTGAAGGCTAGTTCAGTTCAGATCCTGGATGTTTTTAAAGGAGTGACATCTCAGATTGTTTTGGTTATTTTTTAATACCATCTGTGTAGACAGGTGGGAGCAAGAGCGTGAGCCTCTGGGGGAGCAAGGAGCATTGTTGCTGAATATGTGCCCAGATGCTCAGATTCTACCCACACCGTCTCAGTGTTAGGGCCACGATGAAGGAAACCTAGGCTCCCCTTCTGCAGCGTCACCATGACCAAAGCACAGAACACTTTGGCATCACTGGCTTCTAAGAAACTACAGAGATGACCAGCCCTGAGAACTCTCTCATCAGACCCAGGATGCCAGCCACCCCACCCAGATAGATCCTGAATCACAGTCATGTGAACATTTGTGCATTTGTGGATTAGGCTGTCTTGTCCAGTTTTTTATTTTATTCTTAATTTTTTGCATTAATATAAAGGCAAATTGACTTGTCCAGTTCTAGGACTTTTAAAATCTATAAATTCATGTAGTGACCATTGTAGTCAGGATTGAGAACCACCCTGTGTCCCAGAAAAGGTCTTGTGCTAGCTCTTTCTAGTCACACCCTTCACCCACCTGGAGCCTCTGGTGACCACTGATCTCTTCCCATGACTATGGTTTTGTCTTTTCGAGAATGTCATATAAGTGGAACCGTGCAGTGGGTAACCTTTTGAGACTGGCTTCTTTCACTCAGCATGACTGATGCTTTTGAGATTCCACCAAGTTGTGGTATGTAACTGTAGTTGGTCCCTTTCGATTGCTGAGCACCACTGCATTACCGGGGGGTACCACAGTTGGTCTGTTCGTCTGTCGAAGGATTATGTAGCTTGATTTGGTTTTTGGCAATTGTGAATTAAGCTGCTACAGATACTCACGTATAAGTTTTTATGTGAACATAAGTTTTCATTGTTCTAGTGTCAATACCTACAAATGGAATTCCTGGGTCATATGGTAAATCTGTGTTTAACAACTTTGAGGAGCTATAATTTGTCTTTTTGTACAGAGGAAAGGGCTTTTAACTTGGATGAAGTTACAGTTTCTCAACCTATTCTTTTTTGATATCATGTCTTAAGAGTTTGTTGCCCTAACATGGGTCACAAAAATTTCCTTCTGTGTTTCCTTTTAAAAGTTTTGTAGTGTTACCTTTGACTTTGAGATCTGTGATGCCTTTTGAGTTAATTTTTGTGTAACTTTTAAGGTTTGAGGTTCAATTTTTTTTTTTTTTTTTTGCATATGAATTCCAGTTCCAACACCACTTGTTGAAAGTACTGTCCTTTCTCTGTCGAACTGCCTTTGCACCTTGGTCAAAATCGCTGGGCTGTATCTGTGTCCTATTTCCAGGCTCCCTGTATTGTCCCACTGATCCGTGTGTCTGTCCCATGACCTGTGCCGCACTGTCCTATTCCTCTAGCTCTAGAGTAGATCTTACCTGTTTTCAAAATTGTTTTGGTTCGGGGCGCCTGGGTGGCTCAGTCGTTAAGCGTCTGCCTTCGGCTCAGGTCATGATCCCAGGGTCCTGGGATCGAGCCCCGCATCGAGCTCCCTGCTCCACGGGAAGCCTGCTTCTCCCTCTCCCTCTCCCCCACTGCTTGTGTTCCCTCTCTCGCTGTGTCTTTCTCTGTCAAATAAATAAATAAAATCTTTAAAAAAAAAAATTGTTTTGGTTCATTTGTTTTGCCATATAGCATTTAGAACCTGCTTGTCTAAATCCACAAAAAATTCATGGTGGTGTTTTTATTGGAATTGAGTCAGATTTGTAGATCAGTTTGGGGAAAATTAACATCTTGACTATATTGAGTCTTTCAGTCCAGGAACATAGTATATCCCCATTTGTTTAGATTGTCTTTGATTGCTTTCACCAGCACTTTTACTTTCCAGCATATAGATCTGCACATGATTTGTTAGATTTATACCTAAATATTTCACTATAAATAGTATTTTTAAAAAAATTCAGTTTGTAACGGTTTACTATCAATATAGAGATAAATTGGTTTTTTATGTATTAACCTTAAATCATATGATATTGTTAAACTCATAGTTTTATAAATTTTTTGTAGATTCCTCACAATTTTTTACATAGACAATTATGCTGTCTATGATGGGAATAGTTTTGCTTTTTCCTTTCTGATCTATATGTCTTTTTTAAATTTTATAAACCCTGTCTTGTTCCCAATCTCAGAGGGAAAGTATTCAGCCTGTCACCATTAAGTATGATATGAGCTGTAGGTTTTTCATAAATGTCATTTATCAGCTGGAGGAGATTCCTTCTATTGCTGGGTTGCTGAGAGTTTTCTGTTATGGATGGATACTGAATTTTATCAAAAATATTTCTGCATCAGTTGACATTATTATTTTTTTTTTAAAGATTATTGATTTGAGAGGAGGTTGGTGAGAGGGGCAGAGGGAGAGAATCGCAAGCAGAGTCCCCACTGAGTGCAGAGCCTGATGCCAGGCTCAGTCCCACATCCCTGAGATCATGACCTGAGCTGAAATCAAGAGTCAGATGCTCAACTGACTGAGCCACCCAAGTGGCCCACCAGTTGACACCATTATGTGAATTTTCTTGTTCAGACCGTTAATATGGTAGATTAATTACATTTATTGTTTTTTTTTGTACTGAACCAATCTTGTTATTTTTAATATATTACTTTATGAAATACAGCAATGTTTATATATCTTAAACATATATATATGTTTATATGTATGTAATAATATCTCAAAAATAGTTTTGTTCAGGATTTTTGCATCTAGGTTCATCAGGGACGTTGGTCTGTAGTTTTCTTGTAGTATTTTTTCTAGTGATTCTGGTCTTGTAAAAGAAAGAAAGGAAAGATAGAAAGAGAAGGGGAGGGTGGAAGGAGGGAGGGAGGAAATAAATTATTTCCCCACTTGCTTGGGTTCAGGCCACAGGTTCTGACCTGCCTCTTTTAAACTGTGGTTCCAGTGTCAGCTCAGTTTTCAAAGTCTTTGATACAACGTTTAAGGTCAGATTCACACATAAACAGCTCAGGGATGGCCCCAGAAGTCTTTTTTTTTTTTAAGATTTTTATTTATTTATTTGATGGAGAGAGACACAGGGAGAGAGGGAAGACAAGCAGGCAGAGTGGGAGAGGGAGAAGCAGGCTTCCCGCTGAGCAGGGAGCCCGATGCGGGGCTCGATCCCAGGACCCTGGGATCATGACCTGAGCTTCCAAAGGCAGACACCTAACGACTGAGCCACCCAGGTGCCCCGACCCCAGAAGTTCTTAAATAATATTTTGCACTTGCTTTGCCAGGCTCTTCATTTTCCCTGACCTCCCAAATACTTTCTAGTTCCCTGGGGCTTTCATTTTTGGTCATCCAGCTAAAAGCTGGGGCTCGGTCGCCTCACTTTGCTCTGTATTTTCTGTGACTGTGCCCATGTCTGGGGCCAAGCCAAGAGAAGACAGCACGTGCCCAGGGGACATGTGTCCATCACATGGGATTGCTGTCTACCGAGGAGAACTGTACCTATTTGTACCTTGTACAAACATTAAAGAGAACAAAGTAAAGCCAATATGTACATTCTTTATTGTCTTTTTTCAATGTTTTAATTGAAAGGAAGTGACAGAACCACTTTGGGACCCGAAAGGAAGGAATAGAGCAACTGGAGAGCAATAAAACCTTGGGCTTTACCCTGTCGACTCCCTTAGTCTGGCCCTGCTGGGGCCATAGCCCCACTGCTTGGAGAGCAAGGTTCCCTCCCCCAGAGCTGTAGGGGACCACCAGCCCCTGTTGCCACTGCTGTCACTACTAGGAGACCCCTTTCCCACTGCTCAAGTCGGCGGTAGAGGATTGCCGTGGAGCTGTCTCTGCACCTGATACCCCCTTCCAGGTTTGGGGCTACCTGAGCTCTGGCTGGGGAATACCAGAGGACAGATGGTCAACTAGTTACCAGTTGAGTTGAACTTCCAATTCTGATCTTCTTCCCCGATCCACCTGCCACCGTGTACTTCTTAAAGTCTTCCAATACCTGCTCCATTCACGCTGTCCATGGCACACAGTAGCACTGAGATGGGGCGGAGGATGTCTACCCCATCTTACCCAGAACCAGAGCTCCTTCCACTTCTCTCCAGATGCTTGCTACTGTAGACCAGTGACCAAAGCCACTTAGAATTAATGAATTAACAGAAGTTACCAAAAAGTGTGGCACAATACTGGAGAAGGAGAAATGAGAGAAAAATAATGACCCCTTACCTTTAATAATGTTGTTTGTGACATGTTATCTAATGGGAACTATTACCTTCTTTTATACTACTTCTTATAGTCACTAAGGAATTTGAACCTATAAGAATCAATCCTTCTGATGACTTTTTGCCTCCTCTGCCTTCCATCATTAATTTTATCCAGAAACAAATAGAAGCAAAGGGTATTTTTAAATTAGTAGGTAGATACTGCTTTTTATAAATACCATCATCATTTTTCCTCAACCAGACTCGATTCTGATATTACTTAAAGTGTTTTCATTTGGGAGCTCAGTCGGTTAAGTGTCCGACTCTTGGTTTCGGCTCAGGTCATGATCTCAGGGTTGTGAGATCGAGCGCCACATCGGGCTCCGTGCTGGGCATGGAGTCCGCTTGGGATTCTCTCTCTTCCTCTCCCTCTCTCTCTGCCCCTCCCTGCCTCTCTCTCCCTCCCTAAAATAAGAATGAAAAAAGTTTTCATTTCTACCTAAAATTTGAAATATAGTTTAAATATTTACAACAATTAAAATTATAGTATGCCCTATGTGCAAAAGCCAGTCTGAGTTCTCATATAGTCCAGACAAATTTTCTCTATTTCCTGCGAACAGGGACCTGCTCTCTAACCTTCTAGCTTATGCTTTCCCCTTTCTCTCACGTCCCATCCCCCTTTCTTGCCTAGAATGTGCTTTATGTATGAGATCCAGAAAATTTAGGGCAAGATTTTTTAATTCCTTCTGAAACAGGAGATTAAAGGAGAGAGAGAGACCATTTTAGAATAAATGAATGTGAATTTAGACTCTACCTGGGACTTTTCTTCTCTATGGTATTTGTTTTACAATGGTGCACACCTACATATTATATGAACACTGACAACGGAATTTCTCTACTACCTGGTTGGAAAATTACAGTATGATTTGGGAAACATCAAAGGGCTGGGGTAGCGTCTGTCACTAAGAATATACTACATTGTTCCACCTTTCCAGAAAATTCTGACCATGATTCCCACCGAAGAAGAGAAGCAAAAGATCCAGGAGGCGCAGCTGGCCAACCCTGATGTGCCACTGGGCAGTGCTGAGCAGTTCCTCCTCACGCTCTCCTCCATCAGCGAGCTCTCGGCTCGGCTCCACCTCTGGGCATTCAAAATGGATTATGAAACGACAGAAAAGGTATACGCTTAAGAAGGGAGTTAGCCAGCCCTCTCTCCCAGTGTTGAGAAAGTCAGTTTTGTATTGGTGAAGGGAGTGAGGTATCATTCTTGAGTGAGGGTTTGAAGGGCAAGTTGATTATGATGAGGTTGTGTCTGCACTGAGTGATTGGTGGCCTGGCAGTGAGGCATTTTTCTCCAGTGGCGGCCTAGAGAAAGCCTCAGACACTTGCTTCAGGGTACCAGATGACTGGTTAAAAAAAAAAAAATTTTTTTAAATTTTCTATGTAAACTCATTGTAAAAATTTGGAAAACATAGAAATGCACAATATAGAAAGTGACTTATAATCCTTCCACCTGATGACAGTCACCTAAACTGCCATTGTCTGTGGCAGTTAGCCTGGCAGAGTCACTTTGAGAATCTCTATAGGAAGTTGAGGATGAGCTACTCTAAGAGGTTGAGAGGAGAATAGAAGGAAAGGAACCTTAACAGTGAAGGCATGGGAAGATTCATCTGAGTAAGAAGTGGAAGGAGCAGGTGTCTTCTGGACCGGGGAAATGGGAGTATTTTTACAGGCTGAGCAGAAGGAACCAGTAGAGAGGAAAGAGATGGAAGGTGAGCTGGAATGAGCTTAACTGAGAGGAAGTGCCCAAAGGAGACAGATTCAAAGCATAGGAGAGCCTGTAAGGTCTCCATCCTCTGGCAAAGGAGGCAGCAGGGTTTTATCCTGAGGACCAGATAGGTGGCAGTGCGTGTAGGGGCATCAGGAGGGAACCATGGTGTTTGAATTCATTCAGAAATCAAGTGAGGATGAAGAGATATAGGACTGCTGAGGTGATTTGGTGTGACGTAGTCTCAAAACCAGTGTGGAAGTCTGAGAGAGTGGCAGTTACGAAGGCAGTGGCAGTAATGAGGATGACAGTCTTCTAGAAAGTAACCAGGGCTAAGAAGTGCCAGCTGCAGAGTGCCCAGAGGGGAGGTTAGGAAACCTGAAGGGTCCAGGGACAGTGAGGGACAGTTTCTGGAGTCATCTGCCTAGAAGGAGAAAGAGAAGAGGAAGACCATGGTCCAGATGCAGAAGGTACATGCAAAGGAAGTAGAGAGAGGGGAGGGTGGTCTAAGGGTCCTGCCTGATCTTGGCAGATGGGCAGGAACAGGGGGAGACTTGTCACCCCAGCACAGGTAGCCACACATACCCATTTGGTCTCCACTGAGGAGAGTTTGAAGACTAGACTTCCCTGCTGCCTTTTGGCACTTTTCCATACTTAGCAGCATGGGCCCATCATATGGGACTGCCTTATACCAGGGAGAACTCCACTTGGTTACCTTGTACAAAAGTTAAAAAGAACAAAGTAAAGCCAAAACGTGCATTCTTTATCATCACCTTGCAACTTTTTTTAATTGACAGGAAGTGGCAGAACCACTTTTGGATCTGAAGGAAGGAATAGACCAACTGGAGAACAATAAAACCTTGGGCTTTATCCTGTCTACTCTCTTAGCCATTGGGAACTTTCTAAATGGAACTAATGTAAGTGTTTTATATCCCTTATTCTCCTGCCTCCTTTGTCACAAAATCCCTGCCCTTCATTAGCTGAGGGAGGTTGTACCTCTGGTCCTCCAAAGCACAAATGAAGCAACTTTTGTGTTTTCTTGCTGGAAAATCTAGAAGGAATTTTGTCCTTCACTTATCAGGGCCTATTTATTTGAGTCTGTATCTTGCTATTAAATAAGAAAATTTAGAAAAATAAGCATCCTGTTCTTTACGTAGCTTGGCTACTCTCAAAACTGACGTTGGAGAGAATTTCTCCCATCTCCCTCCCCCATTTTTTCCTGAACTTATCGCTCAAATATTTGTACTTATGCACATTATAAACCAACTTAAAAAAAAAAATTGGCCTATCTTTGGTCAAGAGGTAGGAAAGTAGAGGGCAAAGAGAGAAAGAAGTTGTAGATACCCAGATGGCAGAAACCCAGCCCCGCAACTCCCTGATTTAGGGGTAGAGGCCTGGGACAGCTTGTGGCTGATGGCTGTGGTGGAAAAGGGCTGGAGGCTCATTTCATGCTCAATTGTAGCTGGTCCCTATGTGATCAGCTAAGGGTGATGGAACATGTGGCCTGAGAAGCTCCAGTCACAGAGGAACGAAATCTTAGGCTACCCCAACAGGGCATTGATTCTAGCCCTTTGTTCCTTTCTGAGAGCCTGCGTAAAACTTATTTTTGTCTTTTATTTAATGTTCACCAAACAGGCCAAAGCGTTTGAGTTAAGCTACCTCGAGAAGGTTCCAGAAGTCAAAGACACCGTGCACAAGCAGTCACTTCTCCACCACGTGTGCACCATGGTGGTGGAAAACTTCCCAGACAGCTCTGATCTGTACTCTGAGATCGGGGCCGTCACCCGGTCAGCCAAGGTACGTCCATGGGTGCAGAGGAGTGGGCCATGCCTTTCCCTCAGATGTTGGATCGTTGTCAGTCAGCTCTGAGGAACATAGGCTCTATTAAGTAAAAACGCCCAAGTGCTGCTTACAACCCTTGCTCTAGATTTTGTGGATATGACTTGTCTGATCCTTTTCCCACCTCTGGTTCTCCATCAGATTCTTTCCTACTGAGCTATGTGAGGCAGGTCTGCCATCCCGGTCCTAAGCGCTGCCTGCATCCACTGTGGAGCAGTGTTACTCACCAGGCCTGGATTCTCCCGAGCATGAAAACTTCTCCACTTGCCTTGGGTGGGCAAAAATGTCACAACAATGCAATTTGGCTCCTCCTCAGACTTCCATAGGACCCTGCAGTGAGGCGTGGAGCCAGGAAAGAGAGGGCACCGGGCTTCTGCTCCCTCATGGATTGGCTGGCTATTCCTATCTTACACAGAGGGAACGGTTTTATAGGGCTGTAAACAGTATATAGCTTTGGCCCCTCGGCTGCAAACTCTTAAATTGGGTGCACACTTGAGATCTTCATGAACTTGTGGTTTATTAGAAAAGAGACCATTGCAGTAGCTGGACTGCCAGCTGCCCCCACTTGCAGGAGCATCACTGATGCTGAACAACCCCCGAGGAATCCCCAACTCAGCACAGCTGGACAATGTGAGGGTCTCGGGAGCAACAGGAAACGCATGGGGAAGGGCTGAATAGGGCAACAGGAGTCAGGTCAGTGTGTGGGAAACTTCTGGAAACCCAGCCTGGGCAGGCTGAGGAGCTGAAAGCAGATGACCTTTAATTCTGGGACACTCTGGACCCTAGTATAAGAAGAGGAGAGAGGGTGGTGGGCAGTGGGGAAGGGGCCCCCTGAAGTCTCCTTCACAGAACTCTCTCTTGCCGCCTTCTCCCACAAAACTGACTTGTGGGGCCCCAGGGGCTGGGACCCTCCTTCATCCGCCTCAGGAGCAACAGGCCGGCAGCTGCCAAGTACAGCAAGCAGGGGGCCCTGGCCGGCCTGACAGTGGGCCTGCCTTGTGGCAGAAGGAGGCATGGCCAGCGATCCCCCAGCTCCAACAGCTGACCACAGGCTTCTGAGAACACAGACTCCTTTACTTCACAGGCACCCTTCCTGTGTTTACTCCGTGCCAGGCCCTGTTCTGAAGTCTTTACAAATATCGCATCTGTGTCCTGACCAAGACCAAAAGCCCTTCTGCGTGTGGCAGCTGGGGGTCCTCCAGCAGCTGCTCTGACACCCGCCGTGAGCACCTTCTCAGAAGGCAGTTTGTTAGGAATACCTCTATCTGAGACGGAGTCTGCTACGTATCTGCAGTCATATTTGTCCTGTTTCCAGGCCCACACAGAACAAATCAGTTCCTTAGTTGTATGTGGTCCTTTCTTCTTTCCCAGGGCTGCCTTCTAGGTGGAGCCTGCTTAGAACAAAAGCAGCCTGGCCTAGGAGTTCTGACACCAGGCTGGCCCCCAGTGACTGCCCCAGCCGCCCCCCACCCCACCCCAGTATCAGGCCTTTCCCAAAGGGTGTTCAGTTTTTAGTTAAGTAATAACGAACTAACTTATCCTTATGCAAAGATTGGCTACACAAGCTAAAAGTGCAGGTCGATTTTACCTATTAACGGTGGTAGTTGCTAAAGATGACTGTTGACCCAGCTCCCTGTGACTTGCAAGAGGCCACCTACCACTTCTCAGTCTTTACTCCCAAAGCCTTTTGGGGTATTGAGGGGTCCTTCTGTGTAGACAGGCACAAAATAAGCCTCAGGAAACCTCAGCCCTACTTGCATTCTCTCCATCCCCTGGTGTGTCGCCCGTGGGGCCTCAGCACTGCGGCCCCCAAGGGCAGGCTGCTCTGGCATCTGCAGGGTAGACATGTCCCTGAGCTGTCCCACAGTGTCCCAGTCTGACTTGATAAGGTTTGACTCTGCTTCAGAGCACAGCTCATGGGGCTTCCTACACACAAAAGTGGCCCATGTGGGTCAGTCATCAGGAGAGGTCTTCCTGGCAAGCACTTCCTTCTCAAAGAAGGCGGCAAGGCCAGTGCTGTCTCTGGGGTGGAATTTTTTAGGGGCAAATCTAGGCTTACAGCATGCTGGTTGAGAACTTAGACTCTGGAGCCAGAGAGATTTGGGTTCAGATCCCAGTTCCACTCCTTAGAGCTGTGTGGTCTCTCACAAGCTACTTCACCTCTCCTGTGCATCCGCTTGTCTCCTCCCAAGTGGAGCTAGTAGCAGAACCTGAGATCAGGGGATAATTGTGAAGACTCAGGTGGCCTGGGCCCGTGGCCTCTGGCCAGGCAGGCAGCCAGATGAGACAGCCTTCCAACCCTGTCCAGAGAAGCTACATTAACCTCAACCCTCAAATTGCACTTCATCAAGAGCTTCCCCACCTGGCTTCTGTTGGCAGTCGGCTACTTTCTCCTGCGCCCACCTTAAGGACTCACGGTGGGCTCTTCCTCGGAAAACCGTCTCTTACTCGGCGTCCGCCGGCTGATCTACCCGCTGCCACGCCGGGCAAGCTTCGCCGTGTTAGACTGCACTGGCCTGCTCGGGGCCTGAGTGGAATGGAGGTTATTTTATTGTGTATCAGGGAGCTGCCAGATGCAAATGAAGACAGATCCAGGGAGTTAGGATTAGACGTATTACAACTGGCTTGAAATCTCCTAGACATAGTACTTGTCAGTCCCAGGTCATCCGGATCCTTTTCTAGACTTACTCTTTGAACTGTTTAGTGCTTTTCTAACTCTACATTTTTTTCCTTCTTGGCTGAACACCTGATTTTTTTTCTCAGCTCCACTATATCCTAGGAAAGTGAAGCTTTTTCTACTCTGGACCCAGAATTCCTTTGGTTTCAGGCAAATTATTTTTCCCAAAGTCCCACGAACCCCCTGCTTACCTGAATCCCAGGGGTCCGCCTAAACTTGCCTTCTGTTTTTGGCTCTTCAGCACCCAGGAAACCCAGGACTTGCCCTATCTTGCCTGGCCCCCAGGGCATCCGTTGTGCTCAGCTTGGCATCATCCCATCTGGTGATAGATCTTCTGACCTTCGTTGACTTGATCGCCTCCATTGTCTCGTGGAGGGCAGGACCACTCCAGCAAACGCCCTGGGCACGCCCATCCAGGCTCACATCCCTTGACCTCTGTCATCTAAGCAATGGCACCTCACCTCCATGCATCTGCTTTCTCCCTCTGACCTTGATTTGCCCAGCGTTCGCCTTCTCCCGCCAACTCCCACTCTGCATCTACTTCTGTGCCCTCAGTCTCCTCCCTGAAGCTCACCTATTTATCTGTTTCTGCCTCCCTCCCCCCTCCACCCGCTTTCTGAGTTTCTTTCCCCTGTCCCACAGCCCTGACGAACTCTTTGATTCACATGATTTCTAGTCTAGAAATTCAGTAAAAGCATCACTTTAGAAAGCCTCATTTCAGGCTACCTCAGTTAATCCAGACTGTTTCCACTTCCCTGAAGAGCACAGCGGGAGCTGTGTCACATCTGTTCTTTGCACACATGGCTTACATCTGCCAGCAAGACCTCTCTCTCTCTCTCACACACACACACACAGACACACACGCATGCATGCCTGTGGGTTCTGTACATCCTCAGCGTTTGGTCTGTACACCTGTCTATACAATGAGCCTCCTTGAGAACAGCAACTTAGTCTCATTCAACATCTGTCTTTGCATTCTCAGTGCCTGGTATAGGAACTGACATACACCAGTTTCTCCCTGGGTGTGGGTCGAATGAATGAATGGGTGGAGAAATAAAATTTGTCACACAGTGTAAAAGAGATCACTGTGAAGAGACGCCGTCTGCCCCTGAGCCGGCCCCGCCGTATTAGAACCATCCCTGTATGACGGTGTGTTCCTATAACCCTAAGTGAAAAATCATCTCTGAAGAACAAGAGTGCTCTGAAAAATTTTATGAGACATCTGCTCAGTTCATCTTGTACTGGTTCCTTGATATCATGTTTTAATTTACAGTTCCCAAAGACGTTCCTAAGATTTCTTTCCAAATTGGGGGTGGGGGAGTGATATTTGCATTGGGTTCATTGGGGGGAATAGCTTTATCACTAAATAATCTGATGTCAAGATAATGACAAATACACATGTGGATGATTTTTAAGCCATAAATATATTTGTATTTCAAGATGTCAATTTGGTTTTGATGATTGTTTCTCCCGGAGGCAGTTGAGTTTCCTGGTTCAGGTTGGTGTCCGCTTGTTTCAGTGCATTTGCCATCATTCTCCCTCTGATTTTCAGGTTGACTTTGATCAACTTCAGGATAATTTATGTCAGATGGAGAGAAGATGCAAAGCTTCATGGGATCACCTCAAGGCAATTGCAAAACATGAAATGAAACCAGTTTTAAAACAGCGAATGTCAGAGTTCCTAAAAGATTGTGCAGAGCGAATTATAATTTTAAAGATTGTCCATCGAAGAATAATTAACAGGTAAGGGGATGAAGGAACAAATGGCAACACCTATACAATGGCACGTTAAAAAAATTCCACAAGCCAATATCTGAAGGTTAAGTTTACAAAAGTTGTACTGTAAGTTCTGGGTACATAGAAAGTACACCTTTGCACATGTTTATTTCATGGGTATTTTTCTTACACACACACCCCAATAATGTAATACCATTGAATTTTAGGTTGGAAGGAATCTCAGAGGTAATGTGATCCAAAAATCCCATTTGATCCGGAATTGCCTCTCTAAGCTCTCTGACAAGTTGTATCTCTGCATCTGTTTGAACAGTTCTGCGTGCATACAGCACGTGTCCTTGCAAGGCAGCTTGACTTGTTAGAAAAGCTCCTTTATATAATCTACAGTGTTCCTTCCAGAACCTTCCACTTAACTGATTCTCTGAGGCTGCTGTGCAGCAGCCTGCCTAAATGAGGCCTGGGTCCCCAATGTGTGCCACCTCTGGACCAGCCGCCCTTAGAGTCCCAGGATCCAAGAGGACCCTGGGAGACATGCAGGGCTGTATGAGGCCTTGCTTGCCAGCAAGGAGGCTAGCTGGGGTCTAGGAGCTGGCTGGGGTCTGCTCCATAGCAGTCCAGGGCTGGCTCACCTGTAAGCAGTGGCAACACCAAGACAAGAACCTGGGTTTTCTGACTTCCTGGGCCAGGCCGTTTCTGACCACGTTCCACCAGAGTATCTTTGCAGTATTACAGAGTATGGTTGTAGGTCCCCTGGCCTGGCCTTTGGGGTTCGAATGCTCTGTTCCGGGCCTTACTGAGTAGGCGTGCAGGTCTCCAGACCTGCAGGCTGTGGTCCACCTGGAGCAGATGCTCTGGTGACAGGCCTTCTGAAACAGGTCTCATCGAGGTTCTGCGAAGGGAGCCCTCCCCTTGGGGCCTTTCCCAGGGACCTGCCCCCCTCAGGTACATTCCCAGGCCAGTGTCTAAGCACTTGATTATTTTTTTTAAACAGAGGGGCGGTATTTTCATTTATCCCTGTCTGTTTTGTATTTTTGTATTAACTTTTTATCTCTCTCCTTCCCTCCCACCCTCCTTTAACCTTCTTTTTTCTTTCCTTCCCTCACCCTCCTTGAACCCCACAACCTAATTGTCTTGTCTGCCTCCGAGCTTTTACCCACCTTGTGCCATTTGCTGTTTTAGTAACTGTATGCCTCCTGGGTCTTGATCCAGACTGTTGTAGGGCGGAGAAGGCGGTGGTAGTCTTTAAATGTTAGCCAGGACAAGAATAAGGAACAGAATCTTCCCTCCAGGTTGACGACTGTCCATTACTCAGTACTTCTGGAATTCAATCGTAAACCCCTCTCACTGCACTCCACCTTGACCTCACAGGGCCCTCTGGAGTGGAGGGACTTATCAGAGATTTGGTTAGATTTCTTAGTGAAATCAAAGTACACTATGCTTTTAACATGTTTAAAAAGTGGAGGCAGGGAATGTGAACTGCTTTGGCCCTCCGTGCTTCGTATGATACGAGCAATTTCCAACTTAAAACCGCTCAAATAAACAAATAGTTTCCACTTGGAATGTCCTGAAACTGGAGCAATTTTCTGAAAGTCTTGTAAAGCTGTTAGGCCTGATCACATTAGCCATTTTATCCCAGACAGGTAAAAACTCATTTTGGTGATACAGCTATTCCTTAAGCTATAGGCTCGTGTGTGTGTGTGTGTGTGTGTGTGTGTGTGTGTGTGTGTATAAGATGCATATAATGGTTGCTCTGATTGTCCTATTCTCCCTGGTAAGCTGGTCACCCAAATGATGGTTGCTCTTGCATGACCTAGATCCCTGTCTACTCACTGGTGCCTGTCCCACTGGGGATGACCAGCACGAGCTAGGAATCATGGGCAGTATAAAGGGCCATGGCTGAAGTGTGGGTCCAGGTAGTGGCCAAGCCAAAGCACCTAAACCATAAAACCTTGGCTTCAAATGAAGTTGGTAGCAGGAACGCGATATGTAGAAGTGATGAAAGTAGGAATATCTTGTTGAAATGGCTATGGGGGCCTGAGAGTCCCAGAGGCTCTGCTTCCTCTTTCCCTCCCCAACTACCAGCAGTTCCCAGGAACATCGCCTGTGACTGCTCTGATCTATCACGTTCCCCTTACACACTGGGCAACTGAGACCCAGAGAGGAGTAAAACCCTAGCTGATGTGGATACAGGTAGAATCCTTTGGGGCATGCAGACCAGCCTAAATAGAAGACTTCAGATTAGAAAGCTGGAAATAGCTAGGCCTTCATCTTTTTTCCTCACCTGCAAGTGTAAGAGTTATATTTTTATCTGTGTAATTAGGAATCCATTTAATAGGGCACTTTTTGAAAGAAGCAGTTGTCCCACAGACACTACTCAAAGGTTCTCAGCGTGTGAAGGTTATCTGCCTCCTGGGGACGAACTCAAACCTTCACAGGTTGCAGGAGTTGCAGATCTGTTCTCATGACACTCACACGTGCAGAGAGAATAACTTTTGCTTGCTTCACTGTTCAGTCCAGCTGCTTCATGACCCACTGCCGGTGGGGTAGCAGTCTGCTGACCTAGTCAATAATGTAAACAGCTAAACTTTGAGTCTCCTGGGTTCGACTTCAAGAGTTCGACCCGTCCTTGCTACCCTCTCAGAGTTGGCCTTGGGGAAGAACAGTCATTTCTAGAGCTCAGCGGTGAAGAAGGGGATAGGTTCCTGGATGGAGCCGTCTGGAACCTCACGAGCCTCCCATGTGGACAGGCCAGGCTGGCCTCTGCTGGCACCCCCTGCTGTGATTGGCAGCTGAAGGGACAAGTCGTCAGGTCTCCCCTCTCCCTGCTCCACTCATCCCCTCAGAGCCTCAGGCTCTCTGCTCACAGCCTCTGTGTTCCCTAGGGCCCACTGTATACTGCGCAGTATCCCGTGAGGCCCGACGAGTCTGGCCAGACCCTCCTGCTTCCTCATCTAACCACGCTGCTCTTTGCACTCTGCCAGGGGCGCTCTGTTTGGGCCTGGAACCCTCTATCTTGCACAGGGACTCCCTGGTGGGACAGAAATCCTTCTTGGCCTCAGCACCTCTTAGCCTCTCAACAAACCTCTCTCCACTCCAGGGCCTCCTTGGAGAGAGATGACAACCCACATCTAGCCCCCCACCTTCCTGTCTGGCCCTCCCTTAGTTATTCCACTGGATCTCCACTGGGTTAAAGGGGCAAATAAAAGAACCTAGACAATCCTCTTTAGGTAAAACTCAGCTTTCAAAACCGTTGCATGACTAAGAACATCTCGTTCTGCATGCCTGAACATGCATACTCCCCTTTCCTTTCACGCTGCAACCCCCCAGCAGCCTTGTCCCGCCCCGCGGCTGAACAGGTGTGCTCACTCGCTCCCGTAGACTCATTGGGCCGTTACCTACAGGGTGGTAGGCACTGGCACACACGGGCCAGTGCAGGAAGGCCTCCGGAGAACTCCGCAAGGGGCTGGCACTCCAGGGGGAGAGATGGGGAGACAAGTGACACCCACACTGGCTTCCTGGTACCCCAAATTCCACCCCTCCCCTTCTTGGGCCGGACCCCATAATCATTGGCACACTTGGGGAAAAGAGTGGATGATGGAACAGAGCGAAGAGACTGATTGATTGTCCCCTGGATTTTTCTTGCATACGCTATCATGTGCTAACATATCATAGATCATAGATCCTATATCCCCTCTATAATGTCAGGTAGTAACTTTTTAGGAATTGCCAGACTTTTCCATAGCAGCTGAACCATTTTATGTTCCTACCTGCTGCTGTATAAGGGCTCCAATTTCTCCCCATCCTCACCAACACTTGTTACTGTCTGTGGTTTTGATTTGCATTCCCCTAATGACTAGTGATATGAAGCAAATTTTCATGCACTTATTGGCTATTTGTGTATCTTTTTTGGAGAAATGTCTATTCACATCCTTTGTCCATATTTTCTTTGTCTTTTCAGTGTTGGGTTGTAAGATCTCTTTATATATTCTGGATACACATCTCTTATCAGATGTATGATTTGCAAATTCTCTCCCATTCCATGGGTTGTTTTTTCACTCTTGATGGTGGTCTTTGGAAACACCAAAGTGTTGAATTTTGATCAAGTCGAGTTTATCTGTTTTTTTTCTTTGGTTGCTGATGGTTTTGGTGTCACATGTAAGAAGGAAATCATTGATTAATCCAAAGTCATGAAGCTTACAGTCTGTGTTCCTCTAAGAGCTTTATAGATCTAGCTAAATTTTCTGACTTTAAACAGCACTTTTTTCGGCCCCTTTATTTACAAGTTGTATGTTTTACTTTATTATTTTTCACATAAAGAATAAGCCCATTTCCCTCACTTAAAAAAAAAAAAAAAAGAAAAGAAACCCCTATTCAAACTGTACAAATTAGATGATCAAAAACAAAAGTAGTTGTCCACAAATAGTGGGATCATTTATAGAAGACTGTTTGGTCTACATACAAATGTCCCTCTGTCTCCTAGTATCTTCTTTCTCATTTCCTGATAACTAGAAATGGTGTACATGTTTGCTTATTTAATTTCCTTTACAAAATGTTTAAGTCAATAAAATCCAATAATTTTTAATTTATAAAGTTAAATAGCTGAAATTTATTTTGTGCTGCTGTGTGGTGTTTCCTAATAAAATTAAGATTGTATGTGGGGCGCCTGGGTGGCTCAGTCAGTTAAGCATCTGACTCTTGATTTTAGCTCAGGTCATGATCTCAGAGTCATGGGACTGAACCCCGCGTTGAGCTCCACACCAGGCGTGGAGCCTGCGTAGGATTCTCTCTCTCCCTTTCCCTCTGCCCCTCCTCCCTCCCCCCACTCATTTGTGCACACTCTCAAAAAAAAAAAATTGTATGTAATATAAGAAAATATTTCAGAATATTTACTCACAGAAAATCAGCATTTTTACAAACCATCAGTTAACAACTCATATGATTGTGTTTATTCCAATAGTCATTAACGCATGTTCTCAAGAATTGCTAAGCTATATTTCTTTATTCTGTATTCAATTCTTACATAACCTAGAAACTTGTGCAGTATTTTCTTTAAGATAATGCTTTATCCTTTTTCTTACAAAAGCTTTGCACATACATTTTAGAAAAACATTAGAACACTTATAAGCAAAAAGAAAACAGTAACTAATCTCCTAAAATCCTACCACCTAGACATCTTCCATCAGTGAGAAAGTGAGTTGAACTTGACTTCTGGTTGAATTTTTTGCTCAAGAAGACTCTATAACCCCAGAGCCCCAGGAATGAAGAACAATGCTTGCCTGATTGGTTTCGTGCTGAAAGTTTTTAGGCAGTTGGTTTTTGTTCCTTAGAGCCAAAGTCATCACCACTCTTGGGTTTTTCATTGCAGGTTCCATTCCTTTTTGCTCTTTATGGGTCACCCACCTTATGCAATTCGGGAAGTGAACATAAACAAGTTCTGCAGGATCATTAGTGAATTTGCACTGGAGTATCGCACCACCAGGGAAAGGGTTTTGCAGCAGAAACAGAAACGGGCCAACCACAGAGAGAGAAATAAGACCAGAGGGAAGATGATCACCGACGTAAGTTCTGTGAACTCCATCTCTTTGTGTCATTTATGGTGAAAGTAGATCGACCCCCACAGTTTAGGGGCTGTGCTTTTTTTTTTTTTTTTTGACTGTGGAAAAAAATGCCATCTTTTAAAAAGTGCTCTTAAACTCTTCCTCTCCTATTACAGTGAAATTCTGCTATATGACAGACGTGGGGCAAATACATGTAAATGAAGGGTGTGTGGCTAGTGGAGGAATTTTGACCCATGTTGGGGTGTTGTAGGATGTGGTGTCATTAAAGGCTTGATTCCATTTTCAAACTCTGGGATGTGCATATTTGCAGAAGAAAAAAATATAGAAGATAATTCCACTTATCCTAGGGAGACAGATAAACTGATTTGGGAATTGATTCAGGATTTTAATCGTCATAACAATGCTATACAACCAGTCAGTTGACACATCGACCACCCATTTGAGGCATCTGAATTGAGAAATAATGGATGTGGTTGCTCAGAGACATAACCTGAGGGGTTCTTGGCAGTCCCTTAGGTCAGAGAATATTCAGGTGGGAAGAGATCCGCAGAACAGTGAATCCAACAGGAGTTCCCTACAGCCCCTCGGGGGTGGGGCTGGAGGGCTGCACGCTTGTATGCTTCCCCTGCTCCTGGGCTCCCCTCTCCCACCTCAGCCCCAAACTCTGCAGGCCACAAGTGCCGTGGGCATTCAGACGCGAGATGCTCTGTCAATGGAGGGGAAAGGGATGTGTGAAGATGCCAGAGACGAAGACCTACCATGCAGGTGCCTCTTTCTGGTGGGTCTTTACGAAACTTAACCCAACTGTATATGGATCTCAGCAGTACACTGGCTCTCAGTGATATGGAGAATGGGGTGGGTAAATGTCCAAGTGATAGGGAGTGCCATCATCCTGAGGGTTGCAAGCCTCAACTGAGCTCAAGTCAGGCAGATTTCTTTGGAGAGGAATAAAATCAGTTCTGCCTTCTGTCTCCAGGTGGGTGTGCGTGTTGTAGGAGAAACAGAGGGTGTGTGATTACTGCCCACATTCTTGACGGACGTGGAGACCGGATCCATTATCTTAAAAATTTCGTTGTAATTTTAAGGCATTTCTGAGAACAACCAGGGACTCAGCCCCTCACCATCCCTTCCCCCAGACTTCTTGTTCCCCTGGAATTTTCTCACCCCTTAGATCACTTCTCTGCAGAGGGGCCCTTTGTACAGCCCGCTGACAGTCCTGAATGCCAGCGCCACCCGCTGAGAGTCTCTCTTCTCCTCTCTTGAAATCTGGGTTCGGGAGAATGTGTAGCCTCCCAGGGGACAGCAACAGGAAGCAAACTGAATCCATCTGGGCAAACTGTGGCCCACTTCTCATTCCAAGGTGTTATTTTTAAAAGTTTTAAAAGGGGCTTCCTCATTTCTGTGGAAGTGAGACACATTGGCAGGTGAAAACTACAAGCCCAATATGTTTATAGTTACGAAAACCCAAAAATTTCTTGCCAAATTCTTGAGATTTTTTTTTTTTTACAGATCCCACTGATTTTCAAATTCTGCCCTTCTCTGAAAACATCCAGCTTGCCTATTTATAAACAGGGGTAAATGTTTCTAGAGTTTGACTGAAAAATATTTAAATTCCCATTAAAATGTGGACAGGGCAGGCTTCAGGGTTCATCCTCAACCTAGTCTGGTTTTCATTGGTCAAAGTGGCATCATTCACGTAGAGAGACTGCCATCTACTGGAAGTTTAGGATATTGTCACTCAAGACAAAGTGTAAAGCTTCTTTTCCCAACTCTCAGGTTCCCCTGGTGTGCCCAGCGCCTCAGTCACAAGCTTATACCCCAAGGATGTCCTCATGATCTGGTTAGAAAACCACACGTACACAACTTAAACCACTAAAAACAAAACCCAGCAACAGGTGGAGTCTCTGGACATTAGAGCTGGAAATGATTTTTCGAGAAAACTGTGTGGCAAATCATTTTTAATATAGATGCTGGGTAAAATGAATGTGGAAGTGGTAGCAATTAAACAGAGATGATTTTAGAAAAACAACTATTGTTTAAGACACAGTGAAATCTGGGTAAAATCTGAAAGCCCTGCGTGTGGAGTCTGCCCTGTATCTGCCCTTGTGTGCCTGCCCCTTCTCTTCTTCCTCTGTTTCTGAAATGCAGAAGGCTTCCTTTCTCAAAATCCAGGGGCCCTCCCAGGTAGGAGTCAGTGAGAAATGAAGGGATTCCTCATCCTTTTGCCCCGAGCTAGTTCTAGACAAAATGGTGACATAGACAGGGCAGCATAAGACCACCGTGGCCCTTTCTGCTGTTGTCATACTCAAGATGGGCTGCAAGAACTCAGACTGTCGGGGCGCCTGGGTGGCTCAGTTGGTTAAGCGACTGCCTTCGGCTCAGGTCATGATCCTGGAGTCCCAGGATCGAGTCCCGCGTCGCGCTCCTTGCTCAGCGGGGAGTCTGCTTCTCCCTCTGACCCTCCCCTGTCTCATGCTCTCTCTCTCTCTATCTCATTCTCTCTCTCAAATAAATAAATAAAATCTTAAAAAAAAAAAAAAAAAAGAACTCAGACTGTCAGTCTCAGGACCTCCACATCAGGGCGTGGTGGGGAGCTCTGTTGAAAATGAACCAGCCAGTTATTTTAGCAGCAAAATAAGATTATTAAGGAATGGCAGAGGAATTGCAATTTGGGACACGCAGGCTATGACAAAACCATAGGCAAGTCCAGAGAACAAAGGAGAGGAACATTTCTTTATTGAGCAAAGCGGTCATTGGGAGGGGCTGCTTCCAGTGCATGTCCCTTGGATAACGGTGAGCGGTCCTGGTGGCAGTGGTTTCTCATTGGCTGCATTGCGGCAGTTTCTCATTGGCGGGGCTGTTGCTAGGTGAGGAGAAAATCTTCATCCCTCTTGGGTCATAAGGCAGGCTGCTTCCTGTTGGTGGCTGCAATTGATGACAGTAGGAAGATGTGAGGCTCCCCCTCTGGTGTCCTATTTTAAATGTTTCCTTCAGTTTCACAGGCGTGTCACCTCAGCTTTGTCTTCTGTAAAAAGGGAATGCTAGTTCCTTTGGGGGATGTCGAGAAGGCTAGAGATTTCGTATATGTAGTACCCTGCACATGGGCTGATGGCTGAGAAAATGCCAACCATCCCGGTTAAATAAATAAGCTCTAAGGTAGACATAAAAATAGAGCAGGACTGAGGCGCCTGGGTGGCTCAGTTGTTAAGTGTCTGCCCTCAGCTCAGGTCATGATCGCAGGGTCCTGGGATCGAGAACCGCATCGGGCTCCGTGCTCAGCGGGGAGCCTGCTTCTCCCTCTCCCACTCCCCCTGCTGTGTTCCCTCTCTCGCTGTGTCTCTCTCTGTCAAGTAAATAAATAAAATCTTAAAAAAAAAAAAAGTAGAGCAGGACTGTCCTCTCTGGCTATAGTGCCATTTGCCTGGGGGTGGTTTGGAATGTGATGAACCGGAAGCATTTTATCATTTCAACTCCTGAAAGTTTAGTCGATTCTCAAAAACCTCGTGTCTGATCTGCAGGCCTGGCCTGGTAACCTCAGTGGAAACACAGGTTACGTTGGGGGTGTGTTTAATCTAAAACCAAGAGATGGACATGACCTTCACCCTCAATTCATTTTTAGGAAAGGGATGTTTATTTAAAAGGTACTTAGAATGGGGTGCCTGGGTGGCTCAGTCATTAAGGGTCTGCCTTCAGCTCAGGTCATGATCCCAGGGTCCCCCTGCTTGTGTTCCCTCTCTCGCTGTCTCTCTCTATCAAATAAATAAATAAATAAAATCTTAAAAAAAAAAAAAGGTACTTAAAGAAGTTTATCTGGTGGTAATTAAAAGTTGGGCCTGTCTGCTCAGAAAGCCTCCATGAGGGGCAGGTAAGATTTTTAAAAGAACAGAATTTCATGTTTCTGAGGAGAGCATAATGGGACCCAGTCTGCTTGGGCAGCTGTTGCCCTTGTTCTGTCTGGCCTGTGTGTGGAAGGATTCATGGAGGCTCTGACCTGGCAGCCTGGGCAGGGAGGGTTCAAGCACTCGGGATGAGGTTGGGGGAAAGTAGCTGACAGGTAGCACCAGGCAGGTGGAGGCGGGTTCACCTGCAGAGGCCCTGATGACCGGCAGGTTGTGGCGGGTTCCACAGGATGTGGCCAGCTGAGGAGCAGGGCACAGAGCAGGGAGTTAGGTCTGTAGTACTCAGGACACCAAGTACGCTGGCTGTGTGCCCTGGGGCGGCCTCAGGAGGTTGGTCTGGAGCCCCACAGATTCCTCCTGACTTTGGTCAGAACTGGCCTTGGGGCTGAGAGAGGGAATGTCTGGACACAGGCAGGAGGGCTATGCAGTCAGGGCCTGGCAGGTCCCACATCAGGAGGGTGGACCCTGGTTGTGGTGGCCAATTTCTTTATTTGGAATTTGGTGTGACATGGAGATGATCTCGTCTTTGCCAACTTCTGTACCTTCTAAGAATCCCTTCTGTCTTTTCCATCCTGTCCTGTCCTCTCGGGTAGACTGATGAAGAGGATGAAGTAGAGGTAGGACTGTTTATAAACATGAAGAATGCCACACACTTGACCTTCCCAAGCGTGCTGTAGTCTAACCTAACATAAGCAGCATGAGGCCTCAGCACCATCCAGTGCTCTAAACCATGCATGATCGTTTTCTGGTTGCTTTCTGTGTGATCACTAACCTCCTTACACGGGTTCTCATCATAATGGGTATGCCAGGAATCAAAAGGCTAACTGCATTTTCCAAGCCATCCCTGAGTCCCAGGCCCTGTCAAGACTGACAAGTTCAGCTGATCTAATATTGGAGATATTCTCCTCGTACTGGGGAAGTAGACAGGGAATCCTCCCTCCTGCCCCCTGGCTGAGCCTTTTGGCAACCCAAATATGAGAACTGGATTCTAGAATAACCAGGGAAAGAGCCTAAAACCAAAGAGGAAGTGGGACAGCGGCCCCGGAAGTGGTCATCACTCATGGGCATCCTTTGACTTGTGCCCCTTTTCTCAGCTGGCATCCTTCGGATTCATTGGGATTCGTGGGTGCAGGGGTGGGAAGGCAGGGGCTCCTCCTCCTGGCCCTGGTGCAGATGGGAGAACCAGAGACGACATCAGGGCCGATTGGCCCCAGAAGATGAGAGAGCAGGTGCAGATAGTACAAGCAGATGTGGCCTGGGCTCTGTTACTGTGGCTGAGACACTTGATGAAAAGAGGAAGCCAGGGATCTGTGGGACTGCTCTTTGCAAACATCAATCTGACTTTCTCTTTCTCATCCAGCTCTTTGGCCTTGTGTACATATGGCCCATTGTGCTAGCATACCTCTTTTACAACATATATGCCCTGATTCTTTGCTCAGCTACAGTTAGAGAATATGATCATGTCCATGTAATGTGTGTTCCAGCAACCCCATTTCTGGACACAGCCAGAAGCAATGAGTGCTGCCAAACTGTTTCAGCATGAATTTCTATGTCCTGTTCTGGTCTGGGCCCTGCAATTGATTCCCTTGGGGCCTTTGGCAAGTCACTGAATCTCGGAGAGCTTCAATTTCCTTCTCTGTCAAGGGATGGGGCTAGCTCTGGAAAGATCCTTCCCAGTGCTTACCATAGTAGGATTCTGTGACTGAATCCCACTTTTTAAATGCTAACATCCTAAGTGATCTATAAGAAAATTTTAACTGCTCTATGGTGCTAAATGAAAAAAAAATACATTTGATTAACAGCGCATATTTTAATTCTCCTATCAGGGCTTTGGTGTTAGAAACGGATGGGCTTTCCAAGTTGTTCCCCGGGTTGATGTCATTTGCCCCTAGCAGGCACCCGCTGCGGGTACTGCGGTGAGTCAGGAGAGCCACTGCAGTGGAGGGATATGGGTGTGGGCCTTCTGAGACCACCGCTGTTCTTTCTGATAAGAGAACTTCCTGTCCCCATGGATGTTTGTCACTGGCCCATGCACAACCTTAGGGACCACCGTAGGGAATGTGTCTGCGGAATGCACATAAACAAGAAAGGTTTTCCTCAACGGAAGTTGGTTTTTGGGGGAGTCATCTCCCACCCTAACCCCTCCTTTGGTCTTGCAGTCCGGCAAGTTCTCTGGCAGCCCTCCAGCACCCCTGAGCCAGCCGCAGGGCCTGAGCTACGCGGAGGACGCCACGGAGCATGAGAACATGAAGGCTGTGCTGAAGACCTCGTCACCTGCCATGGAAGACACCACCCCGGTGCTGGGCATCCGCACCCGCAGCCGAGCAAGCCGAGGTGACTCCTGGTTGGAGGGCGCTGGGGGCGGGGGCGGGGGGGCGGCTTCCCTGTCTGGTCCCGTCCCCGTCATGGCAGTGCAGGTGACTGTGCCCAGGAAGTATCTGCTGAGGGCTACCCATGCTGACATAGACCCTTGCCTTCACTCACATCTCTGGGACTCACTGTAGTACTTATCTCCAAACCACACGGCGCTCCCACAAGTGTAACTTCATTCACACAAGAGGAGTTATGATTATGAATGGACCCTCATGGGTTAAAGCAGGGGTCAGCAAACCATGGCCCCGGGCCCAATTCAGCCAGCCACCTATGTTGTAAATGAGGTTTTCACTGGAACACAGCCAGGCGTGGCAGAGCTGAGGGTTGGGGCAGAGACTGCGGGGCCCGTAGAGCCTCAGGTTTTCACTGGCTGGCCCTGTGTAGGGAAAATTTGCTGGATTCAAGCACCGTCCCCTTTTTGCCTTTTTAAATCTTTAGAGGCAAGGAAGAAATGAAAACTAAAGGTGCTAAAGATAGATAAGAGTTTCTAGGTTTGTTTCATAACTTGGAAGGGATATTTTACTTTAATTGAGAGTTAAGGTGCAATTTTCACCTGAGAATGTTTAGTGGTGTTTCCGATCCAGCCTGACAGCACATGAATGCCCCTCTTCAGGTTCCGTACTGCCTGCAACACACAGCCCACGCTATTCAGGCTGTCTCTGGGGGCCCCCTGCAGTCTGGTCCCAGCCTGTCTCCCACACTTGGCACTCACTCGCCCCCATGTTATAGGCACCACCCTTCTCTGCACCCTGTGTCTCCCTGAGCCCCCTCTGCTATTCATGCTGTCCCCTTTTCTCTGCCGGTCCAGCCCCCATTCACCTCCAGAATCCACCTCCTCCTCCATACTCCTCAATTCAAAGGGCCACTCCTTCCTCCCATGGACTCCTGAGCCTCCAGTTCGGGCTGCCTCAAGATTACAGACTTTATCACTAAAGAGGACAAACTTCTGGAGGACAGGCTTTCTCCTCTCGGTGTTTGCTTAGCACGTGCTATGTGCAGAGCTAGAAGAAGACGTACCACTTAACTGTCTAAGCTGTCATGCTCTGGCATGTGACAGTGGTTCTGGTAGTCACTATACTGGCTGACCAAAGAGAACAGGCCTGGTAAACTGGGTTGTGGGTTAGCTTACCTATCACAGAAACTCGGTAAAACAATGAGCTCATGCAGTGCCCATCAGGCATTGTCCCAGGCTCGGGAGAACATTCAGACTCACGAGATGGCGGGCAGCTGGAATGTCGAGCTCCAAGCTGGAGAAACCCCTGAGAAGGCCCTTCAGTGACTTCTAACTGCCTTTGCAGACTGACCAGTGCTTTTGGAATTTTGCTGTTGTCAACTCTCTTAAATATAAACAAAGAATGATAGTAATAATAACTTCAACATAAAAGAAAAAATAAATGTAGTTTCAAGTTTTCTTTAGAAGAGAGTGGGTTACATGGTGCATGTAGTTCCTTGGAACTTCTTATCAACCCAAGGACCACAAGCTGCCATCTACAGAGGAGTCTTGAAAGGGCTTCCAGGCAGTGTTCCAGATCCCTAAGGTTTATGTGGAATTCCCTAGTGGAGCTGCACTTAAGGCTTTTTATGAAATTACCAGATGTTTTTCTTCTTTTCTTTTGTTTCTCAACTCAGATGAGTTCAATACCACTCTAGTTCCTTCCTCTGCTTCTTAATGTTGGACTTCTGTCTTTACCTTTTAGCAGGGTTTTTACTTTGATAGGCAGTTAAGATGACAGAAGAAGGGCTGCCTCCCTCCACCAGGAGGCAGGTGGTCCAGATGTTGAAATTTGCAGCCAAGTTTTAGCCATTACAAATGTTAAAAGACGTAAAGGAAAATATAGACAAATTGATTAAAAGGTGTATCATTTCAACAGCAAATTGGAACTTAATCTTAAAAATAATCAAATGGACATTCAAGAACTGCAAAAGAAATAGCCGAAATATGGAACTCATTGTGTGGGTTTAAGAGCAGACTTGTCCCAGCAAAGGAAAGGATTAGTGAATTCAAAGACAAGTTATTAGAAAATGTACAAAGTGAAGCATAATGAAGAAATGGACAGAACAGAATAAAATGTAAGGTGTGAGGTGCACAATCAAATGGTCTCACCTGTGTGTAATTGGAGCAGCAGAAGGAGAAGGAGAAGAAGCATTAACTGAAGAGCTAATGTCTGAGAATCTCCCAGTGCTGGTGATATATATCAACCCACATATTTAAGAAACTTAGCAAATCCAAGGAGAATAAATAAAAAGAAAACCATGCCTAGGTGTAATGTAGGCCGACTGCTAGAAACCAACGATGAAGATAAAATCTTTTAAAAAGTCAGATGGAAAAGATAAATTACCTTCTAAGATACAAACATCAGAATGAGGGCTCACTGTTATCAGAAGCTATGGAAGTCAGATGAAAGCGGAATGACATCTTCAAACTGCCAAGAGGGAAGCCTGTATCCAGGGAAATTCTTTCAGAACCACAGGCAAACTTTTATTACATTAAAATCTCTTTTTTGATATAATTATTCCCCTTTTAGACTATTACTTTAGGTCAGATTTTTAAGGGAAAAAATAAATTACAGTGTTTTCTTTCAAACTGTAATTTACATTTTTTTTTAAAATGAAGTATAGTTGACACACAATGTTACATTAGTTGTAGGTGTGCAACATTGTAATTCAGCAAGTGTACATTATCGATTTACATATTTTTAAAAATGAAGTCAAAATAAAGTGATATGGTGCTATCAGTCTATAATACTTCATTCCTTCTACCACATCTCAGTATATGTAAATGTCTTGAGGGGTGCCTGGGTGGCTCAGTCGGTTAGGCATCCGACGCTTGATTTCGGTTCGGGTCATGATCTCAGGGTCATGAGATTGAGCCCCGTGTTGGGCTCCACACTCAGTGGGGGAGTCTGCTTGAGATTCTCTCCCTCTCCCTCTGCCTTCCCCCCTGCCCCACTCACACGCACCCGCACACTCTCTTTCTCTAAGATGAATAAATAAATCTTTAAAAAAAAAAAAAAGAAATGTCTTGCTAACACTTGGGAGACTGTTGTGAGCCTCTTGGGGTCTGTAAAAAGTATGGGCAGTGTTTCCCTGATGCTATATGTGGGTACAAGTTTCCAGGGGAAAAAATCCTATACATGACCAGAAAGAATGCATATAAACAGTTACCAGGCAGGAAAGTAACCAAAGGTGGGGGGAGATAAAAAAGCAGAACCAGGACTGAGGTCATAAAAGAATGACATCATCACAAAACCAAGTCTGGCAATCCTGAACATATGGCAACACATCCCTCTGAAGCATCTCCTGACACATTACAGTGAAAGCAGACCCCTGGGGATGTCTAGGATGGGAAGAATAGGTCATCCTTAGTAGGAAGATCAGATGATGCCTTCATTTTTGGCCCAGTGCTCTGAAAATGTATCATGAGCAAATACAGTTGATTAAAACGTGTGTTTTTGGAAGGGTAGCTTGGCATTTTAAAATGAGACACAGAATTACAAATCAGTAGGTAGAAGGGAAAAGAGGAAATTGCTGGGCAAAACACAATTGTACTATTGATTGCCCTGCCTAATCTGAGGAAGACCACTCTTCAGAAGTGCAGAAGGGTCCCAGTGTAAGAGCTATGCCAGTGGAGGCCTCCTCCCTCCAGTTAGACCACCTGGCCCATCCTGAGAATGCAGGAAAGTTCAGCCATTTCAAAAATTCCTTTCTGAGAGAAGCCTATTTTTAAAGGGTTTTATGATGCTGAAAGATCTAATTGGATGGAAACAAGTAGATCAAGTGCCCTTGGGCATAAGCAGAAAAAATACAATTTACTGTTTTTTTTATATGCCAGGGCTATAGCTCTGCTCCCATTCATACAACAAATGTTTAAAATAACATCAACAATAACAGCAAACGTTGTCATTAGAAAACATATTGACCTATAGATACATGCATGTGGTGGAGCCCCAGGAATCCTGCTACTCCTTTGGCAAAGTGTGAATCATTTATGTATGCAATTCAGCAATGTGCATTTTACTGGCAGAAATTAGGACTAAATTATAGCATATTACGTATTTACTGTAAAATTTCAACCACAAACACATGTCCACAAAAATCACAATCTACTGAACCGTGAGCCGCTATTCCCAACTATTGCCGTCAATATCCAAATGCCAAAAGCTTTTCAAAATTAGTATGGGAATAGAACTCGAGAATGTAAGGTACATGTTTACTAACATTTCTGGCCTGTGGTTGGCGAAAAGCTGACTGTTCTTCAGCTGGACCTTAGGCTCCAAATACCTGTGTTCCATAGGCAGAGTCTGAGAACACCCACCTACAGGCTTCTGAAGTTGTATGTTTATTACAAAGGACCGTGTATGTGGAGGAAATTCACGATTTTGAGCGCATTGCATGTCTTTCTTCTTACAGAAGCATATTTCCCATCTTATAGATGAGATTTCAAAGGAAGTTGATTTATCACGAAGGCACATTCTTGATACTTGGGAGCTCATGTCTTCGTGGTGCTTTCTTCTTGTCTATAGGCAGATGCTTTTATGCCAGCCTTAGAGCTGCTCTGTCTTAATAGACAATTATTTATAAATGTACTTTTCTAGTCAAGAAGCAAAGAAAAATTTGTCTGTTCCTGCTTTGCTAGTTGAAGAAGGTAATCCTGTTTTGATTTTTTAAGTATTTTATTTATTTGACACACAGAGAGAGAAAGCGCATGCACGCATGCACAGCAGCAGACTCCCTGCTGAGCGGGGAACCCAACTCAGGGCTCTACCCCAGGACCCTGGGATCATGACCTGAGCTGAAGGCAGATGCTTAACCAACTGAACCAACCAGGTGCCGTTCCTGTTATGATTTTTAAAGGTTAAGTAATCCAGGGTGGCTCAGTCAGTTAAGCAGTTGACTCTTGATTTTGGCTCAGGTCATGATCTCAGGGTCCTCAGATCAAGCTCTGTGTTGGGCTCTGTGCTCAGCAAGGAGTCTGCTTGAGCTTCTCTCTCTCTCCCTCTGCCCCCCCCCGACACAGTGCACTCACTTGCGCTAGCTCTCTCTCTCTAAAAATAAATAAACCTTAAAAAAATAAAGTTCCTTAAAAAAAAAAAAAAGATTAAGTAATCCAAAGATAAACCATGACAAAATCCATGATTTTTATTTAACTAGAAGAGATGTTAAGGTTAGTTGACATTCCCTAGGCCTAGACAGCCATGGATAGAGAGCTGAATTAACACGTATCTCTGGACATTACTGGGTGTCCATCACCGAGTATCTGTGATGTGCTCTGTGATGCGATGTCCGCCCTCCCACGATCACGGGGCCTGTCAGGTGGAGGCCTTCAGCAGCTGTGTTACAGGGTAGTATTAGGTAAATGCTCCAAGTGCGCATGAGTGGGAGTAGCGGTCAAGGTCACAGTGGGGGACAGGTGAGTACCCCCGATCTGGCAGGCTGACGCTCTCGCTCTGGCCAAGGCTATGATCTGTTGCTGACAGAGCTCTGTGCTCAGAAGAGCAGCGTTGACATTTTCTCTAGTGTGTTCCTGCTCTCTGGTTGTTTAATTCTTCAGGATCCACTAGTTCCTGGACGATGGGAACCGATGACTCCTCTAACGTCACGGATGATGCAGCCGATGAGATCATGGATCGCATTGTCAAGTCGGCCACCCAGGTGCCCAGTCAGCGGGTGGTGCCTCGGGAGAGGAAGCGCTCCCGGGCCAACCGGAAGTCTCGTAAGTGCCTTGGAGCTAGGGTGAGGGCCTTGCCCTGCAGGGAGCTGGCCTCCTGTTCTATATGCCCTGGGAAGGGCAGACACCCAGAGGCCGGCTCCAGTCAGTTGTCAGTGATGCCTGGAGGGCCCACCCGAGCTCAGCAATGAAAGGTTTCCTGGTTGACAACCAACACTGCCACTGTGGGGGAGGGGGCTGCAGGCACACCCGCCCGGTATATTTGCCGCTCCCTCCATTCTTACTGTTCCCAGGAAGGTCCTAAGGACCCTTACATATCTCTGGCGTGCACGGGTGGGTACAGGGGGGCCATTGCCAAGCACTGCCCCAGATGCTTTGCTGAGGCCATATTTCTGCAGCGGGCACCACTTTCTAGCTGAAGATGGGTCCCCAAGGGATTCACTGCTGCTCACAAAAATGTCGAAGGTGAAAACCAATGATTTTATGGTCATTAGAGTGCTTAGCATTCTTAACGTTAATCTAGGTTGACCAGTTTGGTTTTGCTTCTTTTGGTACCAACCAGAGAATTCCACTAAATCAAAGGGACTGATTTTCCCCTTTGTCTGAGCCTGCTTCTGCCCACGGAATCATGGGCGTGGGACTGCCTCTGTGGGCACCATGCTTGCTTTCAAAGGGGCTGCTCTCCGTAGAGAAACGGGGTTCCTCTGTATCCTTTGACATGTGTCTGCGCTAGCCATGACTCTCGCGTGTTTTAGGAAAAAGCTCAGCCCCCAACCTTTGGCCCTGATGCTGCGTCACTCAGCTCAGGAGACCAGCTTGAGTCTCGCCCGACTCTGCCTTCAGGAATCAGGGATGGTGAGGGGCATAGGGATTTATGACCATCACAAGAAGGAGGCCTGGTTACCTCTGCCTAGACTGGCTCCAAAAAGTGAAAGGAGAGTGACTCCAGGTAGGCGGGAGTTCAGTAAGAACTCAGACTCTCTTTGGTGCCACCTTTGAGATTCACACAGGAGGGGTTCAGGGTTTGAGCTGCAGAGCCCAAGGGAGGGGATGCCGGGTAGGGGATGCCCTCACGGAAGGTGGGCCATGTGGGGCCATGCCGGGCCAGAGCCCTCAGAAAGGGAGACCGCATGAGGCAGTGACCTGGCCAGTCCCCTGAGGCCGAGGGTATGTGCTCCTCCCCCAGGTTATATGCCTGTGTTGGCAAAGAGTGTAGGCCCTGTCCTCTGGTCTAGAGAGAACCAGATTCTTAGAGAGACACATAATGTCACTGGGAACAATAACACAGTCATAATTAATTTTCCTCTTCAATCTGGCCAGGGAGATAGTTTGCCTGTTTTTGTGGTTGATATAAACTAAATTTCCTGTGGTATCGTTTCCATTCCAATCTTATGCAAAACAGCCGTATATTCCTTTTATTCAGCCAAACACATTTTACTCTGCGATGCAGTTACTACAACAAATACAGCCCTGCATGTATGTAAGTGTTTATCTGTAACAGGCTTAATTTATTAGTAATGGCACCATCAACAGAAATTTAATACGGAGGAAAGTTACTTTGATTTCTGTTTAAGAGGGATGATAAACTCCAGCTTTCTCGCAAGAGGTTAAAGGAATAAGAAAAAAAAAAAATCTGCAGAATCGATGCGAAGTTCCGTGGTTTGGGCCTCCCCCTCAAACAATGTTGTATTTGATTTGATTGTTTAATGGCCGCGATGAGGCAAGTGGGTAATGAATAACCACCGTATTTGGGCCATCAGTCATTTGGCTAAAGACAGTAATAGTCCAGCTATTGCAGGAAACCAAACAGAATCCATCCCATAACCTAGAAATTTACGACCTCCTAGCCGCTTGAGAATTCTCCAAGATAATTAAATGTCTGCTTTCGTGTTTGATGCTGGTGACTAGGACTGCGCACGCCAAATGTCCTGCTAAAGCTTGAAATATGCAGCCGGTGGGGACACAGGCAAGGCATCTTAATCGATTCGCAGGTTACCATGGCTCAGTTTTGCTTTTCCAGCTGGTGACAATTCGGGTCTCATTAAGTAAAGTGTTTTGACTTGTCCAGTTGATTTTTAGCCCGTGAAATGGTGGATCCAATGCACTCTCATGCGGCTGCCCCTGATTCTAGCCAAGGTTCTCCTATCGGCTGGTGGATCAGACTGAGAGGGAACCTTCTGGGAGGTTCTTGTTTTTTTCTTATATAGGTTTCTCTTTTCATCATATCGGGGCAGCTTTTCTGTCTCAGGGCTGTTTGTTCTCTTAGGCGTCCTGAATGTTGGCCTTCTCTAGAAAATCCTGAAGCTGGATGGCATTTGAAAATACCCTTACCCGTGTGATTCTGCAGGAATGGGCCCTGGTGTCTGGTACGAAGGGGGAGCTGCTCCCCGATGTTCTTTTATCTTGGACCTATCTTTGGAAGAAAGTCTCTGCTCAGCTGGCTGGCCTTTTATGGCCACCAGCCCAGACCATCGCAGAACAGAACAGGGTTTAGGGACTCATAGTCTGTCTATTCTCTTTTCCCAGGGGAGCCAGATCTTGTCACAGTAGAGAGAGGCTGGATATCATTTTCCTGTTGAGTTTCCTTCTCAGGTGGGGGTCTGGGGCCCACCTGTGACATGCCCATGAAGTTTGGGCACAGAATTATATTTCTATAAAGATGTGATTACTTTGATGTGACCTAAAAATAAACTGGCCAATTTCGTAGCTAATTAAGATCTTAACTGGTCACTCTTATAAGAACAGTTTCTCAGTGGAAAGAGCCAGAAGTCTAGTCCCAGGGACTGCTGGGGAAGGAGCACAGAACCTTGATTTGATCTGATACCCTAACCCCCAATACCCCACCCCCACCATGACGGCCTCCTCATTGCATCTAAAGCTTCAACATCCCTCTCAAAGGGCATGTGACATAGCTCACATTGATTTGATGTAACTAAAATCTTATTTCTTTTACAGAATTTTGAGGGATGTAACCACACTGCCTGTTAAGTAGAATTTAATGGAGAAAGAAGACCATCAGATCTGAAAAATTATTGAATTTGTTTTAGGGAAAACGGGAGATATGCCTCACAAAATATTAGATCCAGCCCTGGATCCGATCAGTACACAACTTCATTCACTTGTCTCCACTTCTCCAAAGTGATATTTGGAAATACTCAGCAATTTTCCCATTAATCCCATTAAGAAAAACTTCCCTGAGTGTTGTTTAAATAGTTTTTGCTTACCGACTGTGAATCAATTTTATATTCTTTCATAGGGCAAGCTAACAATGGCAATAAAACAGAGGCTTGAAAACCCATGCTCTTGCAAATATAGTCAAATAAGATGTTAGTGGAAAGGACCCAAATTTCTCAAACTTTTGTCTTCTTCACAACAACCTCATTCCTAGTTACTCAGCCCCTGATTATTCTTAGAGTTCACTACAGGGGGACTGACCTTCCTCTAAAGATGTGTCTAGGCCACGGGACAGGAGGACAAAAAGAAGCCCAAGAGAGGACCGACAGTCTCTTCCCTGAAGCGCGTGGAGAGTTGCTGCTTTGTAGCGCGCCCGCAGGAGGGTGCGCGCCTCGTGGGAGGGGTGCCACCATCAGTGTCTCCTCCAGGCTAAAGGAGGGGGTGACAGAACAGGATGGAGCTGACCGTGGCTCTCTGATTTCTCGTGGCCTCCTTTAAGCCTCTGGTGATTTTAAGGCCTTCTCTCTAGAAAAGCGAGAGCAGGAAGTGAGGAAGGCTTTTTCAACCTTTGCTCTGTGTTGGGGGCGTCTCAGAGGTGGGGATGGACAGACGCAGGGAAGAGACTTGAAGGGATGTGCGGGGTGGGGGTGGAACGGAGGGCATAATCAGAGTCTGGGAACTTGGAAGAGAAATCGGACCTGAACAAGAGGAGGTGCTGTCCGAACGGCCAGTAGACCCCACATCACCCAGGCCCGGAAGGCAGGTCCAACGTTAGGGCGTACGTAGGCCGGGCCAGAGGTCAGGACTCTTGATGCCACAAGCTCAGCTAGAAGCTTCGGGTCAAAGAGGCAGATGCAGGAAGAGTCTGGAAATATTTTACTCTGTTGGATGGCTCTCTGGTTTCATGTTCAGACAGATCACCCTCCCATACTGGGAACTAGCACACTGAAAAAGGAGAGGGTGGCTTGTATGTCTCCCCCCAAGTCTGGGTGCCAGGCGCCCATTTGGCTCAGAGTTGGAGATTCAAGAGGAGGGAGGATCAGTGAAAAGAGGAACCTGGGAGTCTGTCTGTCCAGCTGGTGAGAGCTGCTCCAAAAGCAAAGCGGAGAGGGTTCCTATTAGGGGCCTTTGGAAAGTGCCATGCATCTTCCTGACATGAAGATAGGGTATTTCATTGCCTTTGCTGCCCAGTTCAAATGGAATCCATTTCCATGTGTGGAATGTGCCCATTCATACAACAGAGAAGGAGATGGGGTCCCTCTACACTCACTCGGCCCCACTCAGCCTCTGTCTGCTGCCATCCAGTGAGGCCAGAAGTGCCCCCTCCCAGGCAGTTGTGAGCACTGAGTGAGGTACCTCTGACAGGTTCCCACCATCCTCCCTCCCTGGCTCTGTCACGCTGCTGCCCACGGGACCCCAGGCAGGGGGAATATGAAGCCAAAGTCACACGAGAGCCTGTGCACAGAAATCACATCTACCCAGCAGTCTACTCTGCTACGGGCACTCAGCTGACTCGGCCCGCGGAGATTAGACCAGACCCAGCTTCACCTCTCCTGTAGCCCCAGGCTGCTGGTTGAGTGGGCTTGTAGCTGTACACCAAAGGCTGGGTTGTCCGCATGGTACTTGTCTGGTTCTGCCTACATCTCTGATGGAGAACTGCCACGCTGACGTCATCTGGAGAGGGGAAAAAGCGGTTTTGTCCTGCCCAGGAAATAATGTTGACAACTCAGCAGTCTGTGAATCTTGAAGCCCCCTTCCTTCTTGTCTGCAGAATGCCCCAAGTTCGTGTAGGCTCTCCCAGAAACAATGGAGAGAACTTATTTCATGTCTCCCTTCCCTCACCCATAGCACAACTCCTATGAGGCAGTCTG